GTTATTAGGCGGTACACCAGTAATGTCGTGGCCGCAATACAAAACTAAATTAAAAAACAAATAAAACAAATAAAATCCATCAAACAACATCCATCTAAAAAAATACAAGACTAATCCTGTGTTTTTTTCTTCCTACTAAACACGCGTTTCACAACCGCCTGTGGGGCATCGGACGAGCTCGATGGCGGTGGAATTGGCCCTATCGAGCTACCTGGAGGTGGTGGTGGGGCATCCGATGACCTCGAAGGAGGTGGAAATGGGGCATCCGGCTCGATCAATCTGACAATATCATTTAGGGTCCCCCACATGACCGTATGAGCGTCAGATGGCGCAAGTCCCCGCACCTCGCTAAGTGTACCATTCACCAACTCCAAAATTTGTGAAAGTTGGACCTCCTTATCGGTACCACCCTCTGGACGAGCTTCATGGGGTCGAGGTCGATCCGCCTGGGGTCGAGGTGGATGGGCTCCATGCCTACTCAGTTGTAACATGCATCTGGGTCGGAACCAATTCATGTAGTCCGGCGAAGTGTCCGCCTCCCCGAGTTCAATTTCAACGGACCTCGACTCCTCGTCCAGACAATACTCCTCCCACCGATCAGAGAATCGTTCGCCGTACGCAACGAAAATTGAGTTCTGGACCGGTCGACCTTTGCTAGCTAGAGCTTTGTACATATCTTTTGACATGTATGCACGACCTGGAATGATTTGCACCCGGTTGAACTGCCTCAACACTCTGTCCGGATGATATGCCTCGAAGTGGTCCATGCAACATATCATCCCACTAAACCAAGCAGAATCTGGCATCGGGAAACGATCACGAATAGCCGTATACGGTGACCATAAAACCTAGTAAAATAAATAAAAAATTAGATGTAAAAACCTACTTAAGTAGTAATAACAAATTATTAAACTGGTATGTTACCTGATCGGGGATCAAATCATCTAATCGAGATCGCAGGTACGACGCTCGTTCAGGCGTTGAAGTAGTCTTTGACTGAGGCTCCCATCGGCTCGCTAATGGCCCCTCGAATTCCGTCTTCAATGTGCCACCCCCCAAATAAGGAAAGTGCTCGTAAATCCATGACTGAAAGAGCGTCAGCCAGCCAGCCATCGAGTTCGTTGATTTTTGTGAGGCTGAGGAAAGCTCATCGTACAACCGGCAAAGACATGCAGTGCCCCAAGCATACTCGCCGATCCGATCCAAATCAGATACAAGATTTAGGTACTCAAAGCTTACCATGTTGCCTGTCTTGTCGCACAGTATAGTACACCCGAGCAAAAATAACAAATACGCCCGAATGGCGTATGTCCTCTTCTCCGCACTATCTCTCATGGTCACTTTGCTAAATTTAGCCTTCAACCATTCCAACTTGACCGCTTTCTTCTTGTTTACATCGTCCGGGTACTCACCTAGCAACTCGAACATCAAAGAACTGGGAATGGTTTTGGAATCACGGACCAAACGCTCGCAAGATACGGTACGCCCAACAACTGGCAAACCGACCAACGTACTCACATCGTCAAGTGTGATGGTCATCTCTCCAACAGGTAAGTGAAATGTGTTGGTAGCTGGCTGCCATCTCTCTACGAAGGCTCTAAGTAGATGGTCGTCCACAGTGTTGTACGATGCCTGTACAACTGACATTAAACCACATCTTTGTACTACCTCTGTAATAAACGGCGCCGGCTCCCAACCTTTCAAGGTTCCTGTGTGATTTCATATTCGAAATTCTGAGCCGCGCTCCGAACGATCTGGCCCTCCGTTCACAATATGATAAGCAATGTGCTTATCAAATTTTGTGTACAATTCCGGTATCTCGGGACCTAGGACCGGTTCGTTGCTCGAATCACCAACTTGTACAGTCGAATGTAGAGCCGGCACCGGATTCGTTGACGAAGAACCCTCTCCAGACTTCTTCTTGGTCGTGGTCTTTTTCTTGGTCGTGACTGCTATGCCCTTGCCTTTATCGGATAATTCCTTCCTCTTCTTACGGTTCGAGACAGTCGGAGGTATACGAGGTTCACGTGGTTCTTCCACTGCAAAATAACACACAAATAAAAATTAATATACATAATATAAACACAAGCAAATAAAAATAGGGAAAAAAAAAAAAAAAAAAAAAAATTTCCCAGTTCAAATTCGACAGAAACCTGTCGAAAATGGGTTGCATTTTCGATAGAAACCTGTCGCAAATTGGTCGACTATTCGACATGTCGGTGTGAGAAATGCACCCCATTTTCGACAGGTTTCTGTCGAAAATTACCAAAATCCAAACTCAACAATTTCACCATTTTCGACATCTACATGTCGAATTTGGATGAATTAGCCTTCTACATCAACCTGTCGAAAATTCATCCAAACTCGACATATACAGGTCGAAAATGGTGAACGAAGAACCGACCCACGAATCTCAAATCAATGCTCAAATCGACTGAAATCAGATGCACCCATTACTAATTAACGATCATTCTAACCTAAAACAACCAAATCCTAATTACCCATATCAAACAATCAAATCTTAAATAAATATTAAAGAAAAAAAAATCGAAACAACTATAACTTACTATTCGAAGACGACGACGGCGGCGGCTTTGGGCGACGTTGGGCGGCGTTCGGCGGTGTTTGGCGTCGGCGTCCGACGGCGGCGATGGTTGGAGCGGCGGCGGCGGCGTCGGGCGGCGTGGACGGAGGGAGGTGGACGGAGGGAGGTTTTTTGTGTTTGAATTTTTTTTTTCTTTTTTTTTTTATTTGGTTTTCAAATAGGTAATTTCAAAGAAAAATTGATGTAATTAGTATTTTGTATGAAAGGGTATTTTTGTACTTTTATTTTTATTTTGGTATTAAAGTAAGAAAAAACTTAAAAATATGTACTCAATTGTGGTTTTCAACTAGGTAGTATTCAACTAAGCAAAAATTAGTATTCAAAATAGTTGCCCCCAATATATATATATACAGAAATGATAAAACCATGAACAGAGAGAAAGAAACGTAAGAAATTCGACCAAGTACCTCAACGAAGATATCCATCCGAAGGAGTGAAACGACACCGTATTCGAATACCAATTTCATTGAATTGGTGACGGTCACGAATTAGGGCTGGATATTTGGCAGCTTGGCGTTTGAATTCAGCGTCTTGTAGACGAATTGGGTTTTTCACTTCGAGGCGTGCTATATTTCTTGGACTGGAGAATTCAGCCGCCGACCGGCGTCGAAAGTCTCGCCGGAGATGATGACGGTTAATTTTGAAGAACTCATCGAGAAATGGAACAAATTTGCAAGATCGTATCAAACTCGTTTTAAAAATTTCAAATCTCACAAATAGTCCCTCGTCTTACTATTTAGTCTCACTTTAGCCCCTCATGTCCTAATTGTTTCATTATCATCCTTCAACTCTACAATCTATTTCAATATAGTCCTTCATTGTATAATTTAGTTAACTTTAACAAAATCTTTTGTTTACCAGATGAAATATTATATTCTTACAATTATTTGTAATAAACTATATATAATATAAGAAATACATATATAATTGAATTAGTTCTTTAAATATTAAAATAAGATCATAAAAATATAAATATTTTTTTTGGTAGAGAATATATGTATGACGACATATTACAATTATTTAAATATGTTTCTAAATTATATCCACAAAATAGATGATTTGTTTTATATTAATATAAATTAACATTTCGTACAAATAGTAGGCTTTTCTAAGTTGTATTTTTGTTGGTCGTAAATACTAATTTTAAATTACTAAGCTTTATTATTTATTGAAAAAAGTCTTAATTTATTCAAAATAATTCTAACAATAGAATATTCCTTTCGCTTTTAAAAAGATTCCGTTAAAATTAACAGGTTTCTACATCAATAGATGATAATAAGATGAATTACAGAGATGAAGGCTGTAAATGAGACAATTGAAACATAAGGGACTAAAATAAGTCAATATGTGAATGAATAGTCGGAGGATTTTTTTTTTTTTTGTAATGATTTTTTTGGGGAAACTACAGTTTGATTCCTTAAGTTTACATGGATTTTACATTTATTTTTCCATGTTCACAAAACATTTAGTTCCTCATATTTCACTAATTCAACACATTTGGTCATTTTCGTGAATATGCCGTTAGTCCGTCAGTAAGGCGGTGAGGGGCACAAGTTTGATTCCGTTAGTACTAAAGAAAAATTGACGAAAATGGCTAAAAGTGTTGAATTTTTTAAACACGGGGAACCAAACTAAATGTGTTTTTTTATGAACATAGGGACCAAATATACAATTTGTGCAAAGTTTAGGGATGAAAATTGAATTTTTTTCCCCGAATTTTTTTGTTTAAAATTTTAAGAATTGCATGTTTGATTGTTTTCGGATATGAATAGATAAAAATAAAAAAATAAAAACCTTTTTTTATCTATAATTTAAAATACATAATAATATTGATTCGTTAGTGTAATTATTTTTGAAATAGTTTCAAAAAATTGGATAAAACTGGATCGAAATTTGGATTTTTGCACATTCCAGTTTCAATCTTTTTTTTTTTAAAGAAAAATCAGAATTTTTCAAATTGCAAATTGAAAATTATTATACCAAATTTAAATCGAAATCGACGTAATTACAAAATGAGTAAAATTCATTTTGCATTCATGTACTATGCGAAAGCTATCATTTACCTGTAGAAAACATCAAACGCGGGATAATTACACTTTTGGTCCCTCATGTTTTGCCCGATTTCACTTTTGGTCCCCCTTGTTCTAAAGTGAACAAAGTTTACCTCCAAGTTTCAATTTTAAACACTTTTGGTCCCCGCCGTTACATGTCCGTTAGCAAGTAACGGAAAACACTATTTTGGGGATGAAAATTGAAATTTTAAATTCTTTTAGGGCTGAAAAATAATTATAAATTTACAATAGACTACTTATAATTTTTAACAATAACAAAAAAAAAAATTGACGAAACAAATTATTTTTATGATACCTAATATTATTATAATTATACTACTTATAATTAAATTTTTAATAATAAAAAATTAACTAAACAACTTATTTTTAATCATACTTAATATTATTTTTAATTATACTACTAATGATAACAAATTAATACAAAAAAAATAAATTAGCTAAACAAATTATTTTTAATTATACTTAATATTATTAAAATTATACTACTTATATTATTTTTTAAGAATAAAAAAATAAATTAACCTAAACAAGTTATTTTTAATTGTATTTTTTTAATTATCCTACTTATAGTAAAAAAATAATAAGAAATTAAATTATCTAAACAGATTATTTATAATTATACTTAATATTATTATAATTATACTACTTATAATTAGTTTTTTATAATAAAAAAAGAAATGAATTAAATATATTAATATGAGTTATACTTAATATTAGTTTTAATTATACTACTTATGATTATTTTTTTAATAATAAAAAATAAATTAACTAAATAAATTTCATGATGCTTAATATTATTAAAGATTTAAGGGAAAATTACGGCCACCCCCTGATGTATGGTCAAATTACGAAAAAATCCCTCTTGTTTGGGTAATTAAAGCCACCCCTCTCCTTTTAAATATTTTTACGTAAAATTTATGTAATTCGGTTATTTACCGAACCAAGTCGTATATTTTGTTCGGTAAACGGTATGAAATGTTGGCGACTTGGTGTACCGAAAATTTGGTCCAGTTTTACCTAATTAACATCCATAAATTTACCTCTGGAGGGGTCTTTTCGTAAGATAAATACATAGTTGAGCGGGTGGCTGTAATTACCCAAACATGAGGGGGGTTTTCGTAATTTGACCATAGCTCAGGGGGTGGCCGTAATTTGCCCAAGATTTAATCATAAGTCGTCTATTTTAAATTTCTAATTATTTTCCAGCCCCAAAACAATTTAAAATTTTAATTTTTGCCCCAAAATATTGTTTTCCGTTACTTGCTAACGGACATGTAACGGCGGGGACCAAAAGTGTTTAAAATTGAAACTTGGAGGTGAACTTTGTTCACTTTGGAACAAGGGGGACCAAATGTGAAATCAGACCAAACATGAGGGACCAAAAGTGTAATTCTCCCCATCAAACGCCCTACTATTTTTTACGGCCAATAGTCAAAACTTTTAACGATATTAAATCTGAGTGTCAATAATTTTTTTACCCCGCTTTATGCCAGATAGAATCTCCTAATTTTTTTTTCTAGGTTGTTCACTTTCTACGACTGTTGACGATATTTAGCGTTCGTTCAAATTAAGATTTTTTGTCGATATTTAGCATTACCGTATTCTCGATTCTGCCACGCATGTCATCGCAACAGAAGCCATTAAAACTCCAAGGACAACAACCGCTGCTGATTCGATCTTCATAACCGATTCGCTTCTTTACGATCTCGACCAACCGGTTGAAAATTGAAATATCATGACAGTAAAATTATTCTGCCCATAATTTCATTTTGAAAATAAGGATGAATTAGTTAACCCATAATTTTGATAATCAAATTATCTTTATCAAAATAATAACAAGGCTCTAGTATAACAAATTTAAATACATAATTATAAGTCCAAATCAACTTATATTTACCATATGATACATCAGAAGCATTAAGCAAATAGCACCCTGAGCTCCTCATTCCCCATTTCATGTTGCTCCTCTTCGATTTTTACGGCAGAGTCGACAAGCGTCTTGAGGCACCACCCTCGTAGCTCGATGAACTGCAGCGTTCCAATATCTCCGGTTTCGCTGGGAACCTCTTCCAGGTTGTAGCAATCAAACAGCACCAATCTTTGCAGCCTCGGGAAATGCTCGCTCGACTCCACATTCCACTTACGGAGATCCAACTTATACATCTTCAAGAATCTGAGCTGCGGAAATTCACCGTCCTTCGTCTTCCATTTTGCTCCCACAAACGCATCGCATCTTAACTTGAGAACCACGAGATTCGGGAGCCCGCCAATCGCTGACATCATCTTCCAAGGCAAGCACAAGCGAGTTATAGTCAGTTTTCTTATAGTCGCCGGGAAGCTGATCTTCGCCACTCGCGGCCCGTAATCGTAGAAGCCGCTCATGTGAAGCGATTCCAACTGGCTGAAGAAGAGGAGATTAGGATATCTATACGAGATCTTATCCTCTTCGGCGTATAATAACGGTCGACATACGCATCTGAGTTTGCGAAGATGGGGGGAGCATTTCAACATCTCTTCATCCTCGAGATGGGTTACCATAACACGGCCAAGCGACTGTATGTTGTTCGATCGGGAGATGTCGCAATCTTCGGCGTAACTTGCTTGGTCGGTTAAGTGAAGGTATCTCAGCCTCGTCATTTTCAAAACTACCGAGTGTATAACTATTTCCTGGGAAGTTATCACAATAAGACATTCTAGGTTCACAAGGCTGCCTATCGATTCCGGCAAATCAGTTATTTCCAAGTACCTCAATTGAACGAGAAACTCCATTCCAATTAAATCACGACCGGGATTAATCAGTTTATTGAAACCAAGGACTCTAAGTAACGCCATGTTCGCAACATAAATTGGCGACTCCGGAAGGTTGCCATGGAAAGAGCGTAAATGCTGCCCAAAAGGAACTATCGACGATCCAAGTGATACTACGCGTTGGCCTTTCTCGTATACCGAGTAGTGACTAAATAACAGGAAGAAAAATAAAATTGTTAGCTTAACCGCTCGCAAGAAGGAAAAATAAAAATGAAGCACTACGCATCAATATGTTGTCACGTGAATTCGAGACAAACTTAAATTCGTAAAAATAGACAAGAGTTAATACTAGGGAGTAAACTCACTCGTCCACCACCAATCGCAGGAAGTTTTCTTCTTCGGCTTTTTTCAAGCACAACTCGCGCAGTAGATCATGAACAACGCAAGATTTGACTCCACCATACGATCGTTTCTCGGAAACAATGACTAGGCTTCTATCAATTAGTTCCATTAAATACTCTTCAGCAGCATCCTCTGCGTTGTTGTTCTTCTCGTCCTTGCGTATAAATCCTTCAGCAATCCAAAGCCTCATCAACTTCCGAGATTGTATTTCTTTGTCCTCTGGAAATACTCCAAAATAAAGAAAGCACGGTTTCAGATGCTCCGGTAGATGTTTGTAACTGAATTCCAATACTTGCATTGTGAAACCGTTTCCACTAGAGGAGATGTACGAAGCTACGTTTTCTCCCACTTGTTTCCACGCATTTTCTTCCTTATCCATGGTAGAAAGGATACCAGCTATAACAACTACCGCGAGTGGTAGCCCGCAACAATTTGCAGCTATTTCCTTTCCGATCCCTACCAAGTGCTGCGGGCAAGGTTTATTGTGGAACACCTTCTTCTCGAGTAGCTCCCAGCATTGTTTTTCCGATAAAAAGGGGAGTTGATGGATCAAGCTGTTAGGTGGAGCCAAATCTCGATTCCTAGTGGTGAACAGTATTCGGCTTCCGTTCGCATCGTCCGGGAAACACCTCCGCACATCGTACCAAAGATTCGAATCCCATATATCATCCATTACAACTAGGTATCTTCTTCCTTTTAAATTTTTATAGATCCGTTCGACTAAACTTTCTTCGTCCATATTCAAGATCCTATTTTGGTCGAGCTCAATCGATAAGCCAATCAGAATATCGATCAGCAGACTTCGCCTGTGATACGTTTGGGAGACGACGCTCCACGAGCATGTACTAAAACTATGGCAAACTAATGGATGATTGTACAGCTTATGTGCAAAAGTAGTCTTACCAACTCCAGGCATCCCATGGATTGAAATTATTTGCAGCTGCTTTCGTCCTCCCACGAGTTGGTCTAGAATATCCGTTGCGTTGTCGTCGAAACCAACCGCCACGTCATCAAAATCGGAGCTTCTCTTGCCTTCTAACGACACCCGTGCGCCGAAACTCTTTGCAAAAGCTTCTCCAGTGTCGTGATAATCGTTTTTGATTTCTTGGAGTGCGGTCCCGATAAGCTTAATCATGTGGATAACATGAGGGAGCCTGATGCAGATATACCAGAGAGGAGCATCTCCGACCAAAAACGAGGTGATCAAGAATTCGGCTTCGTAGGCCACGTCTCTTGCTCGTACATCAGCTTCTATCGACCCTTCAATCTCCGAATAAGGAGGCACCTTTATATCCTTGAGGAGAGACGACGAAAGTATTAGCTCCTGCTTCAGTGTTTTGATTTGACCCTTCACATCGACAATCAAACTGCGGTCCTGATTCAATATGTTGTCAAGATCACGAACGAGAGAGTCAACAATGAAGATTGAATCCACAGTAGTAGCCGCCGTCTTCTTCGGAGCTGCATTGGTTTCTGTTTCGATGAATGCAGGCGGCAGCAGGACTGAGGATATGGTGATGCTGAATTTCAACAAGCCGATATTTTCGAGCAAAGCGTCGAACATCTCACACGTTGGTTCGAATACAAACGGATCGACGGAGAAGAACAACGAATGCACTAGCTTCCCGGCTTCATCGGCCACTGCTTCGAATTCCGCCGCTAGACCCTGGGGTAGTAGTTGCTCATGCGCACCGCATTCACAGTACAGCATTATCGTGTCGCCGAGAACCGCGACGAGAAACCGCAGCTCCTTGTCGAGACTGCGAATTCGATCCTCGAATGCAAGAAGGAAAACTGGTGTTTCATGATGCAGCAATTGAAGAAGGAAATCGATAAAAGCTGCGATGAGTTCATTTCTCCTGATCAGGGTGCTGCTGTGCTCGTCGATTAGCCTCTGCACCATAAAGAATTTCTGAAGGTGTTGCGTGAAACACGCCAACATGGCTGTGTCTTCTGTATCACTTAGAAACTCAGCAGCGGCCAGCTGAGTTGAGTCCGAGTTGAGGCTTGACTTTGAGGCATATCGTCGAACAGCTGATAGGTGCTCTGGAGTCCAGTTAAAACAGTCGTTTTTGCTCCTCCTCTTCCATTCAATTATCTCATCAAAAAGTTCTAGCACACTACTTCTTGAGAGAGAATCCATTTTTTTTTCTTTTGCAGATCTAAGAACTAAGTTTTCTGCTATTTTAGCGTGGGAAAATTTAGCAGAAAAGAAGAAGACAAAAAATAAATTTAAATATCAAAATTTGTCTAACGGAAAATAAATTATTGGGGCAAGTGGCATATTAATTTGTTTAACCCAACCACCCAATCCAATCTCATACATTTCTTAAATTAATGTGCACATTACGACCAACAAAAAACCCCGTTTGTTTGAATAATTACAGTCACCCTCTCATTTTAAATATTTTTACATAAAATTTATGTAATTCGATTATTTATCGAATCAAATCGTATATTTAGTTTAGTAGACGTATGAAATGTTGGCGTACCGAAAATTTCGGTTCGGTTTTACCGAATTAACATTCCTAAATTTACTTTTGGAGGGGTATTTTCATAAAATAATACATAGTTGAGAAGTGACTGTAATTACCTAAACAGAAGATGAGTTTTCGTAATTTGACCATAACTCAAGAGTGGCTGTAATTTGTCAATTAATTAATACTAGGAATACGTAGATAAGGGAGACGACTTTTCTTTGTCCCCGAACTCCTTGACTTTTGAGCCAATCTTGATATAAAATTATGGCGGCTATGTTAGTAACAGCTCTACTTGACCAAAAAAAATATTACGAAAACACCACTTAATTTGAAAACAAGATGTTTAGGGTTGTCATTATTGAATATTGAGTACGATCAAAGAAAAATATAATGCATTATGTACTCCCATGTTAAGCTACGAGCATTTTCGACTGGTTACTGTATCGCATTTTTTCATCTAATTTAAGTGGTTTTAGTATTTTATCTAAAATTTATATATCACCATTACACCTAAAATTGTGAATATTTGGTTTTAACATCTCAGCGTGGTCAACCCCCATATTACCATACGTCCAAATCTTATTTTTCTACCAATTTTTTTAGTGAAAGAACTTTCATCTCCCACTCATCCACAATTTTCCTATTTTCTCCACCAATTTTTTTGGTGAAAGAATTTTCATCTCCCGCTCATCCACCATTTTCCTATTTTTGCAATCAAATCTTATTTTTCCTATCAAATATAAAAGTGAAAATATGATTTGGTATAATTTACATCATTTTATTAATTAGCATATAGATGATGATTTTTATTTTTTACTTATTGCACCTGATATCATCTTATTAGCATATATTATTAATAAAAATATTAATTCTAATAATATAAATATTTTTGTTTTTAGTTAATGTGTATAATTGTTTTTATTTATGTAATAATTTATGAGATTATTGCTTATGTATGATTTTATTATATATAAAATAATTTGAGTTCTTATTATTTCATGTTTAGATAGTTTTTTAAAGTTGATAACATAATTATAGTTAAAAAAGTATACTTAAAATTGGATCTAGAATTAATATTTAGGAAGTAAATATACTAAAATTACGATAAATATTACATTTACAGTTTTTGGGCATATACGGTAAAATGACATATGAGATCAAACCAAATCGCATTTCCTATATGGATGAAATGATGAAATATTATTATTTTAATATTTGGTCTAACTTTTGGTGAAATACACGAGAGACAAAAAAAATTCATTTTTCCACAAAAAAATGATGGAAGGGTAAAACAGTGTACTACCAGTGGGAGATGAACCCATTTTTTTCCCGCAAAAACTTCATTTTTCCAAAAAAATGGTGAAACCGATTAAAAATACTCTAGTGCTTGCCATCACAATAGTATTTAGACTAGTATTGGCCTATTGGGTCTTTATTTGTAGTATATATAATAAATAAGTATAGTAGTATCAATGACACGAGGAGTTTTTTAATAAATAGAATAAACACGTGGGGTGTTGAATGCAATAAATCTCTATTTCTTTTTGTTTGTTAGTAATTAATCTAGGTAGCATCCAATGAAATTCACACCCCAATGAAATTCGTAGGAGCTAATTGCAAACACCTCCACTGAGTAATCTCTAATTGGCGAATACCCCTTTCAATTTTCTATTTTTTTTTATAAGGGGTATTTGATAATTAAAAATTATACAGGGAGGTATTTGCAATTAGCTCAAATTTCCACATCATATCATAGATTTGTGTCTATTTGTAAATGAATAATGATGGATGAAGTGTACAATAAACGTGAAGTTTGGGGCCATATGTTCCAAAATGCACTTTGTATAAGCCATTTAAAAATCAACACCTACACGCTATTTATTCTTTTTCTTTCGAGGGAATCCAATAATTAAAAATTCTGCATTATTATTAGGGTAAATTACGAACTCCCCTGTGAAATTAGTCTAAATAACGAAAAATACCCCTACCTATCCGTAATAATCATAATCAGAAGATATGTACATTCTATTATACCTTCTGTTGAATATGTGAGAAATAAAAGAAATTATCTGAAATCGTGCAAAGTCAAAATCCGTGAAAAGTCACACGGTAAGGGATTGGTGTAAGACGGAAAAAAATCTCAGGGGGTTTTGGTAATTAATAATAGGTGGAGGTGGTTTTTGTAATTTAATCTAAGTTTAGGAGGCTTTTAGTAATTTACCCTTATTATTAGTGTTTGCTATTCCTAGGATGTAACTCTTCAAAAAAAAAACATGTTGGCCTACAAAACTGTACGTATGAATAATGATTCTCTACTCCACTTCTTCTATCTGCATTTTTCATACATTTCATCTTGCCAAATTTCTCAGTCTAAAACAGCAGCAATCATTTCTTCACTCTGCAACAAATTAAAGAATGGCAGAAATGGATTCTTCCTCCTCACGTGACACTCTTCTCCAACTCTTTGATGAGGTAATTGAATGGAAGAAGACGAGCCAAAACGACTGTTTCAACTGGACTCCGAACCACCTATCAGCTGTTCGACGTTATGTCTCAAAGACGAGAATCACAGTCACCTCGGATTTAACCTTGCTGCCCTCAGCAGAACTGCTCAAGACCTCGAAAGACCCGAAAATGGTGGCCTACTTCACTCAAGAGCTTCGCACATTCTTCACGGTGCCGATGCTAGGCCAGCTATTTCACGAAGACACCACCCTCAGGAAAAACGAGCTGATTGCAGCTTTCATCAACTTCCTCCTTCAACTGCTGTACCACAAAACAGATTTTGTTCTGGCCTTTGAGGATCGAATTCGCCGTCTTGAGAAGGAGCTGAGGTTTCTCGTCGCCGTTCTTGGCGATACGATATTACCGTGCGATGATCACGAACATGTACGGAATCTCTTGGCGGAAATCGAAGCAGTGGCCGATGAAGCTGGAACGCTACTGCATTCGTTTTTCTTCTCCGTCGACCCAGTATTCCAGTTGTTGGACGAAGCCCTCGACGTTTTTCTGAAAAATACAGACTCATTGAAATTCAGTATCACCGTGTTCTTGGTTCTGCAACCGGTCGAAGCCATCAAAACTCCAAAGGCAGCCACTGTTGATTCGATCTTCATCGCCGATTCTCTTCTTTACGATCTCGACCACCTGTTGAAATATCAGGACAATAATCAGATCATTGATGTGAAGGGTCAAATCGGAACACTGCATCAAGAGCTAACACTTTCTCTGTCTCTCCTCAAGGAGTTGAAGGTTCCTCCGCACTTAGAGATGGAAGAGTTGAAAGAAACCGATGTACGAGTAAGAGACGTGGCGTACGAAGCCGAATTCTTGATCGGCTCTTTCTTGACCGGAGATGCTCCTCTCTGGTATTTCTCCATCAGGCTCCCTCATGTCATCCACAAGATTAAGCTTATTGGGACCGAGCTCCAAGAAATCAAAAACAACGGAGAAGCTAACTTAGCAGGAGTCACAAAGAATTTCGGTGCACAGCTGTCGTTGGAAGCTAAGAGAAGCCCCGATTTCGATGATGTGGCAGTGGGTTTCGATGACAATGCAGCATATATTCTGGAACAACTCGTAGGAGGAAGTGAGCAGCTGCAGATAACCTCCATCTTCGGAATGCCGGGACTAGGTAAGACTACATTCGCAATGAAACTATTCGCTCATCCTTTAGTTTACTGCAGGTTCGATAAATGCTCGTGGAGCGTGGTCTCCCAAACATATCACAGGCGAGGTCTGCTGACCGATATTCTGATTGGCTTATTGATTGAGATCGACCAAAATAGGATCTTGAATATGGACGAAGAGAGTTTGGTGGAACAGATCTACAAAACTTTAAAAGGAAGAAGATACTTAATTGTTATGGATGATATATGGGATTCGAATGCATGGTACGATGTGCGGAGATGTTTTCCGGATGATGGGAATGGAAGCCGAATTTTGTTCACAACTCGGAATAGAGACGTGGGCCCACCTGGCAGCGTAATTCATGAACTTCCCTTTTTGTCGGACGAGCAATGTTGGGAGTTACTCGAGAAGACGGTATTCGGTAATAAGCCGTGCCCTTCGAATTTGCAAGAGATTGCTAAGGAAATCGCTGCAAATTGCTGTGGACTTCCTCTTGTGGTTGTTGTTATATCCGGTATTCTTTCAACTATGGAGAAGGAAGAGGATGTGTGGAAGGAAGTAGGGAAAAATGTAGCGTCGTACATTTCTTTAGGCGGAAACAACTTTACCATGCAAATATTGGAGTTCAGTTACGAGAATCTTCCGGAACGTTTGAAGCCGTGCTTTCTTTATCTCGGTGTGTTTCCGGAAGATAAAGAAATTTCGTTTCGGAATTTGACGAGGCTTTGGATTGCCGAAGGGTTTATAGACAAGCGTGATAAGAAGAACAGTGCAGAGGATTTAGCAGAAGAGTATTTAATGGAACTAATAGATAGAAGCCTAGTCATTGTTTCCGAAAGACGACCGTATGGTGGAGTCAAATATTGCATTGTTCATGATTTGCTGCGCGAATTGTGCTTGAGAAAAGGCGAAGAAGAAAACTTCTTAAGATTGGTGGTGGAAGAGTAATTAGTTTTACTTTTTTAATTATCTATTTTGCTGCTTCAAAGTTGTGTGTTTTAATTCTTGTTTTTTTCAGTGACTATTCAATATACAAGAGAGGGCAGCACGTACTTTCGTTCGGATCTTTGATAGCTCCATCTGGCCAACACGTTCGATCCTTCCACGGGAAGGTTCCGGAGCCGCCGTTCTACGTTGTCAGCATGACATCACTCAGGGTTATGGGTTTCAAGGGGTCCCTCAATCCATCTCGTGATTTATTTGGAATCGAGTTTCTGTTTCAATTGAGATACTTGGTAATCAACGATTTGCCGCCATCAATAGGCAGCCTCGTGAACCTAGAATATCTACTCGTTCTGACACTTGGCACAAGAGTTATCACCTCGGAAATAATGGGAATGACAAAGTTGAGATACGTCCACATAACTCACCATGCGAAATACCACGAAGACTGCGGCAGTAACAGCTCCCGAACGAACAACATACAATCGCTTTCAAACATTATGCTTTACAAACCGAGGGATAGAAAGATGCTGAAGCGCTCGCCGCATATTCGTAAACTCAAGTGCGAATGCAAACCATGGCATGGTAAAAACGGTGTTTATCAATATCCGGACCTCCGTTTCCTCAGCCAGCTGGAGTCGCTCAGCATGACCACGTATTTCGGGCCCCGCAGGGCTGAGGTCAACTTTCCAGCGACCGTCAGAAAGCTGACGATATCCAGGTTGGGTTTGCCTTGGGAGATGATGTCAGCTATCGGAAAAATGCCGAATCTCGAGATTCTCAGGTTGAGGTGCGGTTCGTTTGTCGGAAAAAAATGGGAGACGAAGGAAGGCGAGTTTCAGAAGCTGAGATTCTTGGTGATGTATAAACTGGAGCTGGACGAGTGGAATGTGGAGTCGAGCGAGCATTTTCCGAAGCTGCAAAGATTGGTTTTGTTCGAGTGCTATAATTTGGAAGAGGTTCCTAGTGAAATCGGAGATATTGGAACGCTGCAGTTTATCGAGATACGAGGGTGGTGCCTCAAGACGCTTGTCGAGTCTGCTGTACGGATTGAAGAAGAGCAACGTGACATGGGGAATGAAGAGCTTAGAGTGGTATCTTCTTAATTCTGGTTTTTTTCTTTTACTTTTTTTTCTAGTTTGTGTTATTGGTTTGCACTTTGCAAAGTCCCTTTAGTTTGAAGCTCAACTACTTGTGCATTGATTTGTGATCTGCAGTGGTAGTCAATGGATCAAGGAAACTTGGATTTGAATTTGAAAGTTGAATCTTGAAATTCGTTGACCATTTTTAGTTTGATTGATTCATTTGACTTGATTATGATAATCATTTGTATATTCCAAAAATAATATATACGTGTAAATTTGGATTTTATTAAATAAAATAAATAATTAAAAAAAATGCTCACTTAAATAATAACCTCTAACAACGTCAAACATTCATAAACTTGTTTCGCCTCAGCTCGCGAAGATATGTCTAACTGCCGGTGCGAAAAAACCAATGTACTAAAACCCTAAGAGCACTCTCCAATCTGCTCGATATGCTCTATAAGTGTGATACAATCTGGTTTTACTCTAGCTCCACTCTTGTTGACGAATAAAGACCATCCGAACAAGTATGTGATGTATACTTGGTCGAAGTGGTGGAATGGTGTTCGTATAGCGCCTGCAAGTCGTCTAATCGGGGCCGCCATTGAACCATCAATTCTCCATCCGTAGAATGTCGAGACTGAATGCCCTCGCACCAGACACGATCGCCAAGCTCTTCTCTATACCAATGTAAGGATGATGATAACTCGCAACCCCGGCCCATGATATAATAATGTACATCATGGAGTGTAATCGTCATCTCTTTGGACGACATATGAAAGGCGTTGGTGTTGTCACCTCGAAAGCCTTTATCAGTGGATTATTGTGTTGAGGGAGAATACAATGTCGCAACTGGTTGAAGCATGTACTTTCCAACAATGCAATGGAACGAGAATCATACGGGCCAAACCAACCATGCACCTTTCGTACGAGATTGCAATTTCATCACAGATTCCGCATGTGCAAGATATATCCAATTTTAGGTATACAACAATCTAATGTACGCATTTTAAAATAAAGACAATTAAAATTAACAAATATTACATTTCCCTCCCAAATGCCGTAGGTGATGCGCGGACCAAAACTTGGTAGCAAGTGAAACTAAGTCTACTGGATGCCGGACCAGTCAACTTCCACGGACGAATACCATCCTAGCTAGAAGTAGGGGTGTGAAAGTCGAGCTCGCCTGTTCTAGCAAGTTCGAGCTCGTGTCCATTTTGTCGAGCTCGAACTCGAGCACAAGCTTATTTTATTTTATTTTATTATTAAACAGTATTTAGATTATAATAAAAAAATTACAAATAAACAATAAATTGTAATTATGTATATTTATTTTTTAATATTTATATGGTCTTTTTATATTGTTTTTATAATATTTTTATATTATTACACATGATTTAAATAAACAATAATATATATAAAATAAAAAATAATAAAAAAAATTAAAAAAATAAGGCTCGCGAGTTGGCTCGTGAGCTCACAAACAACTAAAGAAAGCTCGAGTTTGAGTTTAAGTTTTTTCTCGAGCCGGCTCATCCAGCTCACGTGTCGGCTCAACCCGTTTACCACAATGCAATAATACATAAATGAAAATTAATAAAAATTAGGGTAATTTTTTTTTTCAAGAGCGGCAGCCCCCCTTGTCGTCCCTCAAGCTATTGCATGGTTACGCCCCTCACCATCGTCATCACCACCTAATATAAAATCTGACTCGAGATATACATATTGAGATTGAAAATCTAAATGCGATGCATTCCGCATGTGCATCTAGCTCCACTGGTTGCGTGTTGCCCTCGCATCGTCATGTTAATCCAGTAATCTTACGCTTGTGTGTCCTATGATCCTATCCTCTTGTTGTGCAGTAATCTCTTATGGGTGTCTAGCAAATTTATCTTACCAAATGACACAAGTCACGGAACCCTTGCCTTTTCCGGCTCCGAAATGTGTCCATATTACAAAATGGGCGAACCAATTTATTAATCAAGTAATTAATGAAAAAAAGTGCTACCGAAACTAAACTACTATTATAATAATAATAATAATAATAATAATAATAATAATAATAATAATAATAATAATAATAATAATAATAATAATAATAATAATAATAATAATAATAATAATAATAATAATATTACTAATAATAATAATAACCAGATGGCAGTTGCCCAGTTCAAGCGTGAATAGGTGTTTTCAGCCCGGAGCGGGCGTGAAAACACCAGTTTCACGCCTGAATTGGGGGTTTTGACTTTCGAGATTCGGTGTGTTTAGAGATAAAAAAAAGTTTAGTAAGTGAATGATATTCGTAATTTTCGTACCATTAAATAATTTCAGTTTCCGTTGCAACCAATATACTAAATCCCACGTTTTTTTTTAATAATTATCTACTATTTAAATCCCACGTTTTTTAATTTTTTTAATAAAATTCCTATTAATAAGGCAACAAAATTCCTATTAATGAGGACCTAAATCCCGCTAATTAGGATTAATTAGTATAATTTATCTCAATTATTCATATTTTCTCTCTTTCCAATTTCCATAATAACAATTTAATTCCTAAAAATTTGCTTCTAAATTCCTACAAAATTGCTACCAAATGAAAAAAATAAATTATTTTTGGACTTTATTTTTTTATTTTTTATTTTTATATTATTTTCGGACTTTATTTAGCCATTTTTTATTTATTTTTATTTTAATATTTTTTAATAAAAATAATTTATTTATTTATTTTTTATTTTTTTTAAACAAAAAATTGAAAATTTTCTCTCCACAGGCTTGCAACGCCGAATATGGTTATAGATGAATATGACTATATGTGACTATATTAACTATAGTCATATTTTTTCTTTATATTGTTGTTTTTTATATTTTGAACTTAAAAAATCCGATTATATGGCATAGTCATGTTTACCAAATCATATAAAACAACGAAGATTCCCTATTGTTTACGAAAACAATCCAATCAATATCCACACAAAAAATCAATTTGAATCTACTTACTAGAAGTCAACTTGAAAACGAGAAGATAGATTATATTCAACAATAGTCATATTCGAATATGACTACAGTCATATTCGAAAAATACATACATATGACTATAGTCATATTCGAATATGACTATAGTCATGTTACTGCTCTTGTTCAGATCTGAAAAAAAAATCGAAAAGTACATAAATAAAGATAGAAAAATAACGAGAGAGAGGGATGGGAGTCGACGACAACGGCTGGGACGGTGGTGAAGGAAAAAGAGTGAAAGAGGCGACGGTGGTGGTGGTGGCATCTGGAAAAAAAAAAACTGAGAAAACGAGAAAGATAACGAAAAAGAGAGAAAGAGCCTTACGTGGAAACGAAGGAGGAGGCGGCGGCAACGAGCGGCGACGGTGGTGGTGGTGTACAAATCTATGTGAAGACGATGGTGGTGTAAAGAAAGAGAAATCGATAGAGACAACGAACACGAGAAATTAATAAATCACTAATCGAGTGAATCAGCAATAGTCATATTTGAACCAGACTGTAGTCACGTTAATGCTTCTGCTCCAGATCTGGAGAAAAAAAAATTCAAAAATAACGAAAGAGAAGGAGGGGAAGGCGACGACAACGACGGTGAATGAAAGAGAGAGTGGTGAACAAATAAGAAATTCATAAATCACTAATCGAGTGAATCAACGATAGTCATAATTATTAACAGAACAGTGAGAATATGACTATTATGTGACTACTCTGTAAATCGAGATAAAATGAAATCAGATACAACTCGGACGACACAAACCCCATACATTTTGCTCAGAACAAAACAAACACTCGTAAATTGCGAACCAAACATTATAATCCATAGACTAAATTTAAAAAAAAAACAAAAAAAACAATTCCAAACAATTTCTGATATTTTCCACGCAACTTTTCTTCAACACCAAGCACATAGCGTTACACAAACGACGACTAGGCACCTCGATCTCGCCCAAAAATACTTGCGTATATACAGATCTACCAAAAGACGAAAAAAAAAGAAAAAAAAAAAAGAAGAGATGAGAAGAGATTGAGAACGTGAGAGAGAGAGAGGGGGGAGTGAAATAGTGAAATAAATTATATCACGTTAAAAACCTAATCACATAAGGGCACTTTAGTCTTACCATGTCTGGTTAGGAGGGTCTCACTAATTAAGAATGAAACTTGGGTATAGGCAAAAGGGGGCAACTATTTCAAATCCCAACTTTTGCTTACTTGAATACTACCAAGTTGAAAACCACAATTGAGTACATATTTATAAGTTTTTTTCTTACTTTAATACCAAAATAAAAAGAAAAGTACAAAAACACCCTTTCATACAAAATATCAATTATATCAATTTTTTTTTGAAATGACCTATTTGAAAACCAAAAAAAAAAAAAAGCAAACGAGAAACATTTCATTCCACCGCTCCAACCCTCCATCGCCGCCGGACGTCACCGCCGCTCCAACCCTCGCCGCCGCCGGACGCCACCGCCGAACGTCGCCGAACGCCGCCGCCTAGACACGGCCACGGGCCGGTTCCGGGCCGGTTCCGGGCCGGTTCGGACCGGTTCACGGTTCATATTTTCCGGAACCGGAACCGGCCCGTGGCGTGCACGGTTCACCGGGCCGGGTCGGCCCGCCGGTTCGGGCCGGTTCACGGGCTATCCGGGCCGGTTCCGGGTCGGCCCGGAAAATTTTGATTTTTTTTTTTTTTTTTAAATATTTTATGAATAAGTAAATTAAAAGAAGTACTTTTAAATAGAAAAACGAAAAGGAAATAAATGAAAAGACTTGAACTTAATTTTAAATTCAAAATTTTAAAGATTTCGAATTTAAAATGATTTTTTGAAATATTTTATTAATAAGTAAATTAAAAGAAATACTTTTAAATAGAAAAAGGAAAAGGAAATAAATGAAAAGACTTGAACTTAATTTTAAATTCAAAATTTTGAAGATTTCGAATTTAAAATGAAGTTGCCTACGTATCCATTACGGAATCAAAGTCCACGTAGTTCTCTTACCTTCACTTACCTCCCTAGTCGTCGCTAGACAGAGTGTGTAGAGTAGAAGCACGACTTGCTGAAGCTGAAGTCCCACTTTCGACGTAAGCTTCATCGCAATCGTCATCATCATCAACGGTGAGGTGGTCGTCTTTGTGTCGGAAATTGCTTTTTCCCCAATTATCCAAACAAACTTGTGCTTCTAAATTTTCGGGGCGGAGATTGCTTCTTCTTTGATCCAGTATATGGCCCGCGATACTAAATGCAGCTTCGACTGCAACTGTGGATACGGGGCAAGCGAGAACATCTTTTGCAATCATCGACATAATTGGGAACGCTGAACTCTTTGACTTCCACCAATCTAATATATCAAACTTGGAAAAGGCACTTGGATCTTCATCATGAGGAAAATCAAAACGAATGGTTAGATATTGGTCAAGTTCCAATCGTCGATTGGAACTTGAACCCGTGGACCTCGGGCGCTTTAAGCGTTCAAACACCAATCGTTGACCCGTCGTCATATTGGAAGTATCCGTAGACTCTCGATTAACTTGTAAATTTTGAGTTCCACTCATTTCACTAACATATTCATCAAACATTGCATGCAAAGTACTAGTAGCTTGAAGTATAATAAGATCCACATTAGGTTTAACAGGAGGATGAGGAGTGTTAGGATCAATATTAACGATAACATCATTTTCCGGAAACAAATGATTGTAATACACATTTAACAACTCAGTTAATAATTCAATCCTAAATCTAGGATCCAAAATGCAACCAACCAATTATATCTCATCAATTTTCTCATAATATTTCAACCATTTCTTTTTCATTTCAACCACACAATTTTTTAAAATATCTTTTTTTTCAGCGGTCGCAAAACCCTCGGCAATATTGCACAAATAATAAATAACCAAATGACATGTTGGATATGCGAGGAACCAGATAACACATTAGTAGCTTCTGAGAAAATTTCCAAAAGACTACATATTTCAAAGCATGCAACCCATTGATTGTTTAAAACAAATAATCCATTAGCAGGCACTTGTGTGCTAAAAAAGTTGCATAACAAATTTCGATATTCATAAGTTTGGCTTAACAATTTATAGGTTGAGTTCCAACGGGTACTAACATCTCGTTTGGGCCGTCAACGGGCCGGTTCACTTGGTCAACGGGCCGGTTTGGGCCGTCAACGGGCCGGTTCGGGCCGGTTCCGGGCCCAAAACCGGCCCGTGGCCGTGTCTACCGCCGCCGCTGAATCCATTGTTATCAAGCCGCCGCCGTCTTCGAATACAAGTAATATTTGTTTTCGATTTTTTTTCTTTAATATTTATTTAGGATTTGATTGTTTGATATGGGTAATTAGGATTTGGTTGTTTTAGGTAGGAATGATCGTTAATTAGTAATGGGTGCATCTGATTTCAGTCGATTTGAGCATTGATTTGAGATTCGTGGGTCGGTTCTTCGTTCACAATATTCGACCTGTATATGTCGATTTTTTCGAATTTTTCGACAGATTGATGTCGAAAATTCATCCAAAATCGACATATAGTTGTCGATTGTTTTGAAATCTTTGAATTGAATGTTTGATAATTCGACAGCACACTGTCGAAAATTGGTTGAAAATTCGACAGCTAGCTGTCGAATGTTCGACCAATTTTCGACAGTTTGCTGTCAAATTCATTCTGTGTAATTTTATTTTTTTTTTAATTTATTTATTAATTTTTTTTCTTTCCTATTTTTATTTGCTTGTGTTTATATTATGTATATTTATTTTTATTTGTGTGTTATTTTGCAGTGGAAGAACCACGTGAACCTCGTATACCTCCGACTATCTCGAACCGTAAGAAGAGGAAGGAATTATCCGATAAGGGCAAGGGCAAGGCAATCACGACCAAGAAAAAGACCACGACCAAGAAGAAGTCTGGAGAGGGTTCTTCCTCAACGAATCCGGTGCCGGCTCTTCCCTCGACTGTAGACGTTGGTGATTCGAGCAACGAACTGGTCAGAGGTCCCGATTTAGTTGATGGATTGTGTGTGATGGATGTTGTTTGATGGATTCTATTTGATTTACTTGTTTTTTAATTTAGTATTATATGGATTTTGATTGTTTTAAATGAAATTATTTTTGATAATTTGAAATTTTAATTTTTTTTGTCCAAAAACACTTAGAATATGTTTTTTATGTCCTACGTCCTCTATAGTCTATCCCCGTCACTCGAACCCGCAATCATTAACACCATTCCAATTCTTTTACATACTTCACGAACCCATGCCAATAAAGCTTCTTTTGTTGGGAATTTTCTGACATGGTAAATGAATGGGTGCATCGATCTACACAAAAGTGGAGAAAATATAAGACAAGTAAATTTGCAACAGGCACAAAATCGACATTTAAGTGTCGAAAATGACCTCAATTTTCGACACATAAGTGTCGAAAATATGGGCAAATTCGACACTTAAGTGTTGATAATAGAGGTCATTTTCGACACTTAAGTGTCGAAAATATGGGTCATTTTCGACACTTAGGTGTCGAAAAATGTAGTAAAATTCGACACTTAAGTGTCGAAAATGAATAAAATATCAATTGCCATCAATTTTCGACACATACATGTCGAAAAATAAGCACATTTTCGACCTGTATATGTCGAAAATTGATGGCGAATTTAAAAAAAAAAAATCAAAATCGATGTTTTAGCTCAAAAAATACATGAATACATACATTAATGGGTTCTCCTTGCTCGTAAACTACCATTCTATTGTCATTTGACGCCATTTTGCAAGTTGTGTAAGGTTTTGATTTCTTTAATTTTGAGGTTTCTTAGGAGGGTTTTTGGGTGAGGGAGAAGAAGGAGGTGGAGGAGGTGAGGGGTTTGTGAGTGAGGAGGGAAATGGGTTTTTTAGGGTTTTTGATTATTTGATATTTAAGAAAGAAAAATAGTATTTGTAATATTTTTTTGGTTTTAATTTTCATTAAGGGCATCTTTGGTTGGGAGTATTACAAGGGATGGGATGGGATGTATCGATTTGTACAACGTTTGGTTTGGTTGATTTTACCATCCTTGACAGTTGGGCCCACTGATTTAATCCCTCAATCGAATTGTTATTAGTCAAGCCAAAATTGGCTTGACTAATTATCACATACTCAGTCCCATACTGCAACCTATGCGAAATATCCTAAATATCCTTCCAATATAGCACAATTACGAAATTAATAGGTATAAATAGTGAATACTTCATCTTCCCCTTTCGGCTCTTGTACCCTAGTTTTTTACCAGGTAAAAACATACCTTTCAATGTCGCTCCAATTTTCCAATTTTTTCGTATTTCTGGTGCTTAATCCCTTCAATTTTATTATTAAACCCTAATATATATATATATATATATATATATATATATATATATATATATATATATATATATATATATATATATATATATATATATATATATATATATATATATATATATATATATATATATATATATATATATATATATATATATATATATATATTTCACCAAAACCTAATCAAACGCAGTTAGACAACTCGATTCTCTTCTCTTCTACACCATCCATCTGCAGCAATTTCTCAGCCCAAAAATAAACAATTGTAATGTCTTTTCTTCTCATCGTTCTCAATTTTCTTTGTGATGATGTGTGCAGTGCTAATTTTCTTTGTTGAATGATGATGTGTGCAGTGCAAACTATTAATTTTGCTCATTTTTTTTTGGTGATAATTTCTTTATTGAATGATGATGAACTGAGTTTTGCTAAAAAAAAAATTAATAATTATTTTCTATGTTTTTGAGATTGATTATTTTTCTTCCGAACTGCAATAGATTGAGATCGAAAATCTCGAAAGAGATCTGCTCTTTTAGGTGTACAATCTTCGTTGTTTGTTTCGCCCAAATTAATACTTATTAATTTGGCATAGTAGATTATAAATTTGTAAAATTATCTCATTTTAATTTATTTATTATTAATTATTAAAAAAAATTCTCTGGGTAAATGGTTGATTAGTGGTTCTGATATCTGCTGAATTAAGGTAAAAATTGCAGACAGTGTTTGAATTATCTGAATTATGCTTTCTCCTTCCTATTCTCGATAAATTTCTGATTTCGATCTTGATTTTAAGTGTATTGCAACCTCTGATTAAAAATTTGAAGATCCTGGAGCGAAATTAATATCGTGGTTGATTTTCTTAAATATAACTCAGTTCAATTTGTTGTGTAAGTATGTGTTGCTATAGCTGTTCGTAATAATAGATGCCGCAAACTTCATTGCTGTTCGTAATTATTTTTCTCAATCATCCACAGATTACGAAAAAAACCCGTTCGAAGCACAACAAATTAAAGATATGCAACGGGAGAGGAGTGCCCTCGATTCCTTTCTTGAACCAATCGATTTAAACCAAGGCTCTCTGCCCAACAACAACAATAACCACTTCTTCCATGGATCACTCCTCTTGGGATAACATGCTAAACCCAGTCGATAATCAGTTGCCTAATTACACGAGTCCCACTAATGCTATAGACGCCGCCCAATGCTTCAGTGGGTGGGACCGCGGCGAATCCAGCTCCGGCACTGCAAACAATACCCACTGTAACAGGAAAATGAGAAAGAGAAAACTGGAGAGAGATTGTACCCAATAATTCAGAAGATTGTACCCAAATGAACGAAGAAGGAGGAGAATGATTGGATGGAGAGAGAATGTGTTATAATTAATAAATGTATGAAAATGGGCAAACCAGTAATTTACCTAACAAATTCATAGAAAACTGTGTTATCACCCAAACAAAACATGATATTATTATTGCAGGTATTACTAGTTTCTCCCCCATAACTCCAACCAAATAATATGACTAATATAAGTCATCATGCTTTTAATCACAATATTATGTATCTCATCCCAACTTATATATCAAGACATTCGAACCAAAGAGGCCCTAAGGGTATTAAAGTAATTTACAATTAATTATTTATTTTTTTGGTATTCAAGTTAGCAAAAGTTGAGATTTGAAATAGTGATCCCCTAGGCAAAAGTCTTTAATAGTCAATTGATTTTAGTTCAAAATATTTTCTATTTGAAGGGGTATTGCATATTTCCCCATAAATTTATATTATGTATTAATTATATTTCGGTACAGTACAACTTTAGCATGGCAATGACATTGGTAAAGTCGATAGGGCGTTCGGTTGGTAGGGGCAGTTTGGTAATAAATACCACCCCTAATTATACTTCAACATTGTGGAAGCGAAGGGTATTTAAAGTCAAATCACAATCCCAAAACCAAAGGGCGGGAAAATCAAAATCCCCAAATCGCATGCCCATTTTTCAATTGGAATACGGATTCACAACCAGTGCCACCAACAACAGTACCTATTGAAAGAGCACTTCCCGAAATGGCAGGCGGCGGCGGGCGGCCGTTAAGGGCGCTGAACGTGGCGGAGAAGCCGTCGGTGGCTAAAGCGGTGTCCGGTATACTCTCGAAGAATCCGTCAAGCGGAGGGCTGAGGGTGAGAGAAGGCCGGTCCAGATACAACAAAATCTTCGAATTCAACTACGCCATTCAGAACCAGCAATTTCAAATGTCGTTCACCTCCGTCACCGGACATCTCATGGAGCTCGAGTTCGAGGATCGTTATCGCAAGTGGCACTCATGTGACCCCGTCGATCTCTACCATGCCCCCGTCAGGAAACATGTACCGCAGGTAATTTTGCTAAATTTGTGCTTCTAAGGTTATATGAAAATATCTCGCGCGTGTTTTTGTTCGGTATGTGTATTAGATACAGTGCGTTCCATAAGTTCATAGCAAAGTATGCAATAAAGGCTAGACCTTGAGTTCCGGGGTGGATTTATGTACATATTCATTTTTTGTTTACGTATACCGGCTTGTAAATTTTATACCTTCGACGTTTTTATGTGTCTTGACTCTTGAGAGAGTGATGTAGCGTAGAAGAGTAATCGGGGAAAATTATATATTTGTTCCAAAGTCTCTATCTTTATATTATAATGACGGGTGTGGATTTTTTCTGCCCAGAAAAATATTCTTTGATTTGAAGGGTCAGTATCTGATGATTCTGGATGCTTCCTTAACAGCTGTCTTTTTCTAGGGACTGACGATAATTGTTTTGAGAATTTTTGACTTATTCCCTCCTATGGTTGTCAAGTGAAAGTTGATTCTGAAGGAAGAGGATTGACCCTGGCTAACTTTGTTTTTGATGATATAAGAGAATGTTTATGCTGATTTACGTGTTCGGGGAATTCGGTATGGATATCTGTTTGGAGAGGGGCCATGAATATAGAATAATGTTACTGTAATGGATTTTATACTTTCACTCTGAGAATGATTGAACTGAAGGAATTTACGACTCCTTTTTTTTTTAATGTAGGACAAATCGGACATTGAAAAGACACTGGAGGAAGAAGCTAGAAAGTGTCAATGGCTTATCCTGTGGCTTGATTGCGATAGAGAAGGAGAGAATATAGCATTTGAGGTGGTAGAAGCTTGCCTACGAACGAATCGTAATCTCAACATCTGGAGAGCTCGTTTCTCTGCCCTAATTGATAGGTTTCAATTGTTGGATGATATTCTATACTTGTTTATACTGATTTCTCTTTCCATCTATATTTGCTTACATACTACAATAAAATTTGGGATGCTCAGGGAAATTCACGATGCAGTGCAGCACCTTGTTCGCCCTAATCAATTGTTTGCCGATGCTGTAGATGTTCGACAAGTGAGTACTGAAAGATCACTGGCTTTAATTAGTTGATTAGTATCTCCAAATATTCATTATTACCTGAAATAGATTATTGTATGCTATAACAATGTTGGCTGTAAAATTTGAAGACCTTCAAAATAACCTGTACTGGATTGCCAATGGGCTCCTGATTACAGATGTTTGTTCTATATCTGTAAAGTCAATTAAAGTAATTGGTAATACTATGCAGGAAATAGATCTTCGGATAGGAGCTTCTTTCACCCGGTTTCAGACTATGCTTCTGAAAGATGCATTTGTTCTTGATTTCGCTACTGAGGAAAGAAATGTTATTTTAAGCTATGGTCCTTGCCAGGTGAGCCACCCCCTCGTTCATTCATTCATCAAGCAATAGAATATGGATGAGAAGTTTAAACAGTCGATTATGTTCCTTGACAATCTTGTATCTTACATCTCAACTCTTGTTGGCTGTGTGAAGTTGCACTCTACTGATACTTTTGTTTTTGCTTATCATGATTTTTTGCAGTTCCCTACTCTAGGATTTGTTGTAGAGAGGTTCTGGGAAATCCAATCGCACGAACCTGAAGAGTTCTGGACTATTAACTGTACCCATAATTCAGAAGAAGGCACCGCTACATTTAGCTGGATGTAACCATCATTACCTTGCCATCAAATTTGAATACAATATTAACTGAAGCTAATGTCTCTGTCGCTTTGCAGGCGAGGGCATTTGTTTGATTACACATGTGCAACGATAATATACGAAATGTGTGTGCTGGAACCCAATGCAACCGTGAGTCTCTATGAAGCACACTAATTTTGAGAGAATAAACTCATTACCATTGGCATGTGCTGTACTTAGTACTTACGGTTGCTCACCTTCAGGTAACAAATGTTAGAAACCAGGAGAAGCCTAGGTATCCTCCTCATCCTCTGAGTACAATAGAGCTTGAAAAGCGTGCTTCACGTTACTTCAGAATGAGTTCAGAGCAGACCATGAAGGTTCAGCTTCTTCTTGTAAAGATTGTCCATATTATTCTCATGTTTCATATTTCTTTGGTTTTGACTGTAATGATGCATCTTGCTTTTGTTGTACTTAGGAGTTTTATTCATCTAAATAGTTTGAAACTATAGTACCGACAAACCATTTTTTAAATGTGCAAGTCTTAAAGCACTATACAAGATTTCAAAAAGAAAAAAAGTAAATAAAACATAACCATGAGGTTTATATAAATTGTCTTTTATTTCCATTGCCGCACGTTGATAAACTGTAGTGTTAAGTCAATAGGACAACCAGAAATTTAGTAGGCTTGGATTCAGATTCCTCCATATTTTAGATATCCACTGCTAATGGACACTCTTGCTAGTATGGCGGAGCATTACTACCAGGCTTCCCTTGGGCTGTTGACATTTCATTTTTAATAAATTTGGTAGCATAAGCTTTTCACGGGTATAACATAGGAAACTATTCAAAGGATGTCTGCCTGTCCTTAAGTAACTTATGTTGTTTATGACTAACTTGTGAAGGCGTACTCAAAGTTAACATGTTATATTTATTTTAAGATTAGAAATTGCTGATATGCCCTTCTCAACCACTTATCAAGATCAAATAACAGGTTTTAGTTTGTAGTTTTCTATATAAGAATTCAATTGTCTTGCATTCTTTTCCTAGTCATATATGTAGCATAATTTAATTTTATATATCTGATTTTGCAAACAGGTAGCAGAAGATCTATATCAAGCTGGTTTTATCAGTTATCCTCGTACGGAGACTGATAGCTTCTCAGTGAGAACAGATTTGCATGTGAGTATTGGTTTCTTACCTGTGTCTTAAGTAATTTGTGTGGTAAGCAGAGAACTATTTTTTAGGACACAGTAAACGGAATCATGACCTGCATTCAGGCAAAAGAATATATTTTTTATGTCTATTGAACGAACTATGTGATTTGTACCCTTGTGATGGTTTAATGGTTGAATTAGTGTCACTGTAAGGTGGTGTTTGCAAAAGCTTTTTGAAAGTGATTATGAGCTTTTTTTTTGCTCATAATCTGTTTTTAGGTGTTTGCAAAATCAACTTTTGCTTTTGCTTCTCTTAAAATAATCAGCTTTAAGCTATTTTTTAAAAGCACCCCTAACCCTGCCTTTTTCTATTTAAGTTCATTTTCCGGAATATTTACAAACACCCCCAACTTTTAGAAATAAGCACTTAAAATTGACTTAACTCACAATCACTAACTTCTGCTTTTGAATAATCATTTGCAAACACAACCTAAGTAGAATGTCTAGATTTCTATATTATACCAAAGTTTAACGGCCAGAAGAATGTATAGCAAAATCATTAGCATGTCAAACTGTGTTTCTAACATTTGCCAGGATAATCATGCTGTATTCATGCCATGCTATGCTTAAAAATTAGAAAATTAAACACCAATATTTTGCAAACTTTAAATCTGCATGATCATGCCTAGTTCAACTTATCAGTATGCATTTTTTATTTGTCTAGAATTTTATAATTATTTGACCTTTCTGGTTTGGTTTAGACAATTGTACAAGAACAGCAAGGACACCCAACATGGGGCTCATATGCCCAGCGGTTGCTGGATCCTGAAGCAGGTCTCTGGAGAAATCCGAGCAGTGGTGGACACGATGACAAAGCTCACCCTCCCATTCATCCAACAAAATTCTCTGCTGGAGAATCAGGATGGAGTCAGGATCATCATGTTGGTACCACTTTTTAGTATAAGTTGTTAATTTGGTGGAATTAAGCGGATGCAATTCATTCATCATTTCCATCTTTACTGATTCAGAAGTTGGAACTCTTTGTGACATTTTAAGTGAAAATTTGAAATTATAACAGAAAGTGTACGAGTTGGTTGTTCGTCATTTCCTGGCTTGTGTTTCTCAACCAGCCATAGGTGCCGTAACTACAGTTGATATTGACATTGCCGGTGAACAATTTTCTGCATCTGGGACAGTGATACTTGCTGTGAGTTTCCGTCCTCTTAAGCTCCTCTTTAATGTAATTTGTAATGGTTGCATAATGTGTTGGTTATATCTGTTGCAATCGCTGCATATGCATTTTAAACTCATTAGATTTAGTGTAAGCTATGTACTCCAACTATCTCCACTATGTATAAAAGACTGCAATTCAGTTATGATTAAGCTATTTCTATGGCAGGAAGGAGAGAAATTTGAACAGATCTTCAGAACTACTACAATTTTGTCAATATCATCGATGCTATGGAGTCACCTATCTGTTTATGAATTAGTCACTGGTGATTGATGATTACCTTTTTTCAAGTAGACCTTTGTTAATAGAGCTAGACGTTTTTCTAAGTAAACTTTTCAGTAAATCTACGTCTTATAGATTTATACCGTTAGACGCTAAAGTTGGCCTTTCTTAGTTTTGAGATGATATAAGTAGTCCGGCGAACTCCAGAATCTGCTAGATTCCTGCTGGACAGTAAATATGTATGCAATTAATCCGAACATAAGTAATCATACTAATGTCTACTGCTCCATTTAACTCCCCAAAATGGGGATGTCAAAGAATACAAAATGTGCCATTTCTCCAATAATCTGAATATCCAGTTCTAAAGCTGTCTATCCTTACCGTGTCAATAGTTTCCTCCCATTTTTTTATTTTGACTACAGTGTCTCACCCGACTTTGACTGTCCCATCTTTATGTTTAGTAGATCTTAACATATCCGTTCAATTGGAAAGATAAGAAAGGGTGTTTGGAGCTGTATAGGTTCCATGAAAGCTATCTAGCTTGGGTGGATGTTTAGGGGAGAGTTAAAAAGGTAATTTTACGCTTTTGGGAGAAATACACAATTGGTTTAGATTATTTTAAGGACATTTTTTTCTATTCTGAAAGTATATTCAGAAAATAAACTTGTTCCAAGCTCTACATCTTAACTATCAATCCTATTTCGAGACCATACACCTAGTTTTTCAAAGACCTTAATGAGTTGTTACATGCGAATAGCTATGCCCGGAAAAGCATATGTGAGACTCCCAAGAGGAGGACCATCTAGACATAGATAGCGGTAGTGTATTAAAAATTTGGGGCTGGCTCAAATATGTACTTCATTCCTCTGAGTTGTTGCTATTTCCCTCATCTAGTGCTGAACATTTTATGATTGATTTTCCTTTTTTTTGTTTCCTAAGTGAACTTGTGATTCAATATATTTTCCAGAAAAATTACTTGGATGTGTATCGATTTGAAACTTGGGGAGGTTCTATGATCCCAACATATAATTACGGGCAACAGGTATTTTTTTTTATCTTAGCTTTTTGTTTCTGCTTTTCGGAAAGGTTTACTCCTTTCTTTCTGAATATATTTTGACTAAAAGTTAATCTTGGTAACCTCAATGTCCGATTCATGATATATCCTTAAGTATTTCTCAATATCGTAGGGATAGATATATGCAAAGGCACTGAATCCAGCTGAAGATTTTCAACCTTTATTGATGCATTTCTAATTTATATTATGTACTACACCAGAATTTTGAAATTGTTGATGCATTATTATTCCTTTTCTACTGACTAAAAAGAAATTCAGACAGACCAATAAATTATGTATAGGCTTCTGTGAAGTTTTGTGCAACATATATATTACTGGGAATGCATGTGTTAAATGGCTTTATTCATTCATAAATTACTGTTGAACCTTACTCCTCTATTTTCTGGTTGACATGATTGGTCCTTTTATCCCAATGTTGTAAATGAATGACTATGGGTACGAGGACGAAGTTAATCTAAAGTTTCAATTAAACCGAAGAACATTAGTTTTTTTTTCTTCTTTTATTCAATTAACTTCCAATTTTGTTGTTTTGAAATTCTTTCATCTGTGCATGTCGTATATCTGCCAAACTCAGGATGTTTTCTTTAGAGGGTAACCAATTCAGAAACATTGAATACCTTAGATTTTATATGGTTTAGAACTCTGGATAGTAACTTTCTGCAGTATGTAAAATTTAGACCGTCCTGCCGCCACAAAAATGAGAAGTTAAAACAAGAAATAGCAAAGCAGAGGCATATGATTGTTCATCAAATTGTTGAATACTTATGATTAATAGTTGCCTCCTGTTACATCAATTGATTAATTTAGAATACTGTTACATATTGAACGTTTGGTGGTTCATTGCAGTTTACACCCACCACGTTAACTCTTGATTCAGGAGTCACCAGACCTCCGCCTCTTCTAAGTGAGGCTGATTTACTAAGTTGTATGGACAATGTAAGAATTTTTTTGAATTATGGAGGAAAAATTTACATTTCTTACGTATTAGTCTTATTTATGAAGATCTTATTTACATCCTTACAAATATATTTAAATTTGTCAGGCAGGTATTGGAACAGATGCGACAATGCATGACCACATAAAAAAGCTTCTTGATCGCTTTTATGCCACTAAAGACTCAAACATGCGTTTCTCACCTACAAAACTTGTAACTTCTTCCTTCCTCTCGGATATTATTTATTATATCATGACTACAGGATTATCTCTTTTTCCTATCCATGTGAGTTGCTTTGCTTAAAAATGTTAGGCGACATATTTATTTGATAATCAGAGTTTCCAGGACTAAAGAATAACAAGGTTTCATGCAATTTGCACGAGACATATAACTTTTGTTTTTCAAGAGCACATTATCCGCGCACACCCACACCCACACCCAAAAAACAGAAGACAGAAAATAAACCAAGATGCAAACGAAATAATGATATGAATGATGGCTGTTTGTTTCAGATTTTGTGAGATAAACTGATCGTCAAGACTAAATATTATTTCTACTGGTGTAATGGGTATGGATTGGTATGTAGAATAATGTGCCAGATACAACATGGGCCAGGTAGCAGAGCAGATCACTGATATTATTCTGCGATTTATTTGAAATTCAAAATCCATTTGTCAAAGGTGGAAACAATGGGTATCCACGTTGGTTGTGGGAGAATGTCCAAACTAGTTCATGAATAGGTGCACGGACTTATCACCAACTTAAACTTACCATTTTCACATGTTGTAGTTTGTTTAACTCTGAAGATTTATGTTGCTGAAAACTAATAATCTGAGTATGATTGTGGAATCTTATGCCAAAATGCTATGTCTGTATAGGTTATGGTTACTCTCGATTTATGTAGAATATCATCTTCAACATTATGTTGCCACTTGCTTGGTGTGACTATTCCATTGTCGTCTTCAGTCCTTTGTTTGTTCAAGCACCTTAGAAACTAGTTCACAAGGCAGTACCAAATGACAGTATCTACTAGTGTGGAAATTCTCGATGCTCCTTGGCGCCTCTCTAGATTCTTCAACAATTTTAAACATTGCTTTGTATTCTTATTGAATTCTTTCTCCTAATTTATTTTTATAGTTACTCGTTTAAGTGTATCAGTTGAACAATAATCGAAACTAGGAAGTATATTTGTGCACTATCATCACCTCGCCCCAGACTTCTAATGCCAGTTTTATGTTTTACAGGGTGAGGCACTAGTAAAAGGTTATGATGACATGGGGTGAGTCAAATCTGTTAATATCAGTATTTTCCAGTATATCGCCTTGCACGCATTTCATGATTGAATTCCTCTTTAAGTACTTCTATACATCACATTTAAATGTTTATAGACTGGAGCATCATGATCACACACACCTATGTTCAAGATTGTAAATGTACTGAAATGACCAAATGGTGCAACTATTTGCCTTCTTTTTGCACCAGAAAGAAACTCCGACTTTTCTTGTAGACTGGTGCTTAATCGAATCTGTGTTTCCAGCCTTCATATTCTCATTTCCTCCTTTTTTTCTTCCAATGGATTTCTGATTTGGCTTTCTTTTGCTCTATCTTTACGTTCTTGTCTTTGTACACTAATAAAATCTCATACTAAATACCAGGAGATAACTTCCATTAATATATATCTAAATCATCAGTCCATCAAGTCCCAATTATCACCACATTGATCTTGAACCTTGTTCCTCAATCGGTGTTACTGTTGTCTGCTCAACTTTAACCAATAAATTAGGGGCTGGCGGAGAATTTTTTTAGTTGAAGCTTGGTGGTTATATGAAGGATGCAAGTTCAGGTTGTTAACAAAGTACAAATGAAACTCCTTGTCCTAAATTAATTTCCTCCTTCCACATTATTTTATGATAAACACTACCATTTTTTATTTTATAATTATGATTCCCATTTCTTAAATTTAGAAGGATCACGTCACTGTAAAAACTGTTGGTTGCATCGACATTGGTGTCTAGTCATTTGGATAGTATTGTGAGATAGACAAGACTTAAACATGTATAGTTAGATAGACGAAGAAGCATCTGTTTAATTAAAAACTGCAAGCTTGTTAAATGATTGGGTTTCCATTGACCAGTTATGAATTGTGGAAACCGAATCTCCGCGCTATGATGGAAAGTGATATGAAAGCAGTTAGCATGGGCACAAAGAGAAAGTCTGAAGTTCTGGACTCTTGCCTACAGCAGATGAAAGCCTGCTTTGTGGATGTAAGTTATTGTTTATGTGTCAATTTGATCACCCTTATCTTTTTTTCTTTAACATACCACCTTAGTCTAATGTCTAGTGCTTCTGTCATTTGCCTTCCTATCTGTTAACTTGGGTTATCTCTGATCTGGGTTTATGCGTTTGCTAAACACTAGATGTCACCAAATATATCTGCACATATTTCTGATGTGCTGGAAAATTCCTTGCAAATGTGAAACTTGTATTGGCCGGTGAATGACGTGTGCTAGACTGAATGTGAAACTTGTATTGACCTGTGAATGTGTTCATGCATCATCAATATGAAATTTGTTATTGGCATGATGTCTTCATGTTCCTCTTAATGTTTTCTGGTAATTAATAGTGAATAGTGTGTATTTGCAGTCTATTTCCTTTTACTCTTGTGTAATTTTTCCTAGTTTTTATCCATTCCTTTTAGTTATAAGTTTTTTTACAGGCTAGATTAAACAAAGAAAAGCTGTTTGAAGCGATGGATGTTTTCTTTGAGAGGTAAATAAGATGGTTTCTTCTGTGGCCTGACAATTCCCTGCCTTTACTGACAAGTGTATTCTGCCTATGCAGATCAAATAGAGCTAATGGCAATGAGCAGCAAGCAATTGGGGAGGTTGTTCGAAAATGTGGTCTCTGCCAAGAATCAGATATGGTCCTTAGGAAAAAGCCGGTACTTGCTGATAAACTTATTTAGGTTAATGTTGTTATAAAAGGTAGCATGGTATTATTCTAGACGGTTTTTGAAGTACACTGTGACTCCAACATTAGTATCAATTAGCAAATGCTGAAATTGTTTAGGGTAGTGATTTAGATGTTTTTTGTCAATGATCCCTTCTTGCGTAATTTTTAAACCTTCACTTTTTCTTGGAAGTAAAGTGTTTTACTATCTGGGCATGCAGCTAGAGGTTTATACTTGCTTGTTTCATTCACTGTGTATTTCGTGATTCTTAGGTCATTAGATGTCAACTAGACTCATCTAATGGCCTATCACAATGCCTAATGCATCATAAACCTCTTACGTCTTATTCTGGAATGCCCTTCTAATGTCAAAGAAGGTTTAAGTTGGATAGATTGAATAAACACTCCGTATACTGATACGAAGCTATTCACCAAATCTTCATTTACATTTCTCTATGAGCTCTATTTTGCTATCTTCGCATCATACTCCACTGTTTTGATATTGGGTATCAATCTTTGCTGTGTAAAGAAACTCGTTTATATAATTTACTTTTGAAGTAGGACATGTTATTGAAGCTTGTCAACTTCTTTTTCTGCATTGAATGATTCCCTCTCTCCTCTGCAGGATGGAAACTTCATGGTTGGTTGCTTGGGCTATCCTCAAGTAAGCGTCTCCTTACAACTTTGAGCTAAATATCCACTCTTGGCTTTTCAAACTAGTACTACACTGACAAATCTTGTTAAGACATGAATAGCTAGTGATCGATTCGTCCCTAGTTATCATATATAGAAAGGGGTGCCATGCGGTTTGGAATCCATGCGGTTTGGATGGTGTTCTATTTGGGTCACGCTATTAAGAGTGTGGAATATGGTTCAATTAGATTATTACTTAAAACATTGACCATGTGGATCAATCCAGTAATATCCTATTCAGAAACCGGATCCATATTGGAGCTTATTCACCCATCCATCTCGCCACCATTATATGATTAGTGGATAAGCAAATAATTTCTTTTAGTATCATCAGGGACCAAGAGACTGCATTCCTTGAATTTTTTTCAGTAAGTATGGCAGAATTAGGGCCCATGAGATTGCATTAAATACTTGAGAATCTGCTATAGCTTTGCATAATTTGCTTTGAAACTTTCTAAGTGATGGTGCGGGTATCTGCAGTTTCTATTGTTGACTTTATACTTATTTTTATCTTCTTTTAAGGGATCTGCATCTGATGGTTTTTGGCTAGAGTGATTGATAGAAAGTAGGGCTACACGATATGAATTACTACACCAACATAAGAATAGATAAACTAATGGCAGGATAACTGCAAGGTCTTAAACACATAAACATGCCATTAAAATGTCTGTATGGAGAGGACAGAGATCCTATACTGGTATTGATATTAAAGTATGTATAACTACTCCTACAAGTCCTATGAATAATCATACTATGAAAATGAACATAAACCAACTCAAACATAATAGAAAACCAACTCCTGCAAAATAGAAGGTCGAAGTTGACAACTGCAGAATTAATGGGTGGTTATTAGATATCGTCTTATTTCTTCCTGAGTATGTGATTCGTGTTGTTTCATTATGTAAAACAGGAATCTGTACATTTATGGGTTATTATTGCTTGACGTCAAACTATTCTCATCTCACAGTAACTTGCTACTTTTTCATGTAACTTTCCAGTGTAGGAATGTCGTCTGGCTTCCAGGATCTGTATCAGAAGCCACAGTTACCACAACCATTTGCAGTACCTGTTCTCCAGGTTGCTGCTTATTTGGATTTTTTGGGAATTTTTTTGCTGTGATGTCTTACTTATTTCACTAGCTTACTGTGATAATTGACTTCATTTTTATATGAATCTATATCTATAAGATTCTTTATGCAAATTTCATTGACTTGCTGACGTGTGAACTGTCTACAGGACCTGTTTACATGATTCAGTTCAAATTTCGTCGGCTGGAAATACCACCAAACTACAATGTTGATCATTTGGGTAAGTTTAACCTTCAGAAATTGTGGGCAATCCAATATTTGCATTTACTTGTTTTCTTTAATTGTTCAATAAATTATTGAGGAAAAATGGGGGTTGCTAAGAGTAAAAATTGGGAAAGTTCCATTATTGAGTGAGACACGGAAAATTTGTGGAAAGTTACAATCCCACCTCACCCACCCGTCATTGCATTTTCCTTCTCTCCTCAACTTCCTACCACAGAAGCTATACGGACTATGACATGTTTTTGGATCCTAGAGTGCTTAAGTACATGCACCTATCAAGTTTGGCAAAGGCTATAATTGCTACTTGCTAGCAAATTATGTTAGTCAACATTGTATTTCCATGGTAAACGAGTGGCTATTTCAATTGTGCTTTACATACTGATAAGTGACCTTTGCCATTAGGGTAAATGTTACAACAGTTCGGCCAACAATCCCCTCCTTAGTTATTTCCCCAGTTATGAATTATTTTAGTAACCTTGCTATGACGTCAACTATGGTTTGCAAGCCCACATCTCATGCCTCCTTCGCAACAATTGCCAACATTATCATTCTACAACTACGGAACATAATTTCAAGATTTTGTAAACTTAAAGAGATTTAATCATGTAATTCACTTTATTCAATTGAAACATGGGTAAAGTCCGGAGCTAAATCAATTTAAATGAAAGAAATCAGCAATATATTTTCCCTACAAACGAAACCTATATTGTGCTTATTTTCTTACATTTCAATAGTTTTTCATATCTATCTTGCATTGACATATTCGAGGAGCAGTTACATAAGGCGATGGTGTTTGGTCAATGTAATTGCAAGTGTAGAATATTTTTAATGTAAATGATGCTAATTGAGTTGCTTTACCTTACATAAGGTCGTGATGTTTGATCTTTTTCTCGGTGTGGCAACATAGAATATTAAAGTATAGTAACCTAAACTGAACTGGTGTGATTACTCAGGCTGCATTGGTGGTTGTGACGATACTCTAAGGCAGCTAGTTGAAATATGCGGAACTGGATCACGCACCACCTCTAGTGTCCCTGGTATGTACATATTTGGATTATTTTGAGAACTTATATGAGTAGTAGTAAACTATGCTGCATGGGCACCGTGACAATACTTATCCAAGGACACGATACTTTTTGAAAGGTTACAACATGACACAAGAATGAAACTTCAATTAAAAGTTCATAATAATAATTACATTCAGAAACTTAATTCCAATTTCTTCTAACAGTTTAAGAAATAAATTTATCTTACTATTCTAATCTAAGAAAAAATATACGCCTTGTGTCCTATATTTCAGTGTCCATTTCCGGTCAATGTGAAATTTCTTATGAGAGTGAAGGAATTTTTTGGCATATGTTGATAATTTACCCTTAAATGTAAAAAATGGGAATTAGGTAAATTGTTGGGAAATATTTCCATTTTATAAACATTTTATAACAGAAACTTTATGACAGAAAATTTATAAGTAGGAAAATGTATGTGATAAGTAGGAAATTTATAAGTAAAAACGTGTTAGCTAATAAAAAATCATACAAGATAGAAGTTTAACAGAAACCGTGTTAATTAAAATATAGCCACAAAAATTCTTAGAGGCTTTGTTAGTAGATATTAAAGAGAAGAAACTCACTTAAGCAACATATTTTCCATTCTGAGGCTTCAACAAACATTGGGATATTAATCAACTTAGCCAAGTGTTTGGCTACTAGGTGAAAAGGTAAAGTAATAACAATTTGCCTATGGTTTTAATATTTAGTAACCATCAGCTCAGCTGAGAAGATACTTTCATAGGCAAGTTAGTACCTGTATCATTCATTTTAACTTGGCCATTTTGGTGATTAGACCAGTTCCACATGTAATGCTCGTTACTTGGATTTAATTGTCATTTTGCTTCAGTAGTCATTCTAGATTGTTGCAAATTTCATAGTCAATGTGAAACGTGACTGTAGAAGTTAATTTAACTAGCTTACTATTGTGTCCTATTATATGTACTATGTCAAAGTTCGTTAACTACTGTCTCCAGGGAGAGGACAGGGGCATACATCATCATCCAGCAGCGCCCAGCAAAGCAATTATAGAGATCAGGGTGCTTGGCAAACAGCTTCTTCTGCTTGGCAAACAGCTTCTGGGTCACATCCTTCTCAGAGTTCACGAGGTCGTAGTGCACGATCTCAGCGAGCTGGCGGTGCACCAGATGGTTTGATTTCTCTACTATCTTTTTTTTTCTTTTCTGAATTTACAATTGTTATTCCTGTGTTGGTATGCATGGCTTTTATATCCGTCTGGACTACATATTTATGTGTATTATCGTCATCTAAGTTCCATAGGTGCTCTCATATTCACAACTATAACTGATCTTTTCCTTTTCAGTGTAACGAACTTCTAGTTACGAGAAAATGAAGTTGTTTATTTTTTTGTAAAGGAAAATGGCAGAAATTGCTTGCGCTTATATATTTGCTAGATTTATTTTGCCTTTGATGTTTCCCATGTTATGACTTTTACCATAAGATGAATCAGCATTCTCTTGAGCAGAGATTTTGAGAAAGTAGAAAATAAAATATGCAATATTAGAATTTTTAATTGCATCACCTGACTTGTTGAACCTAGAATGACGAAATATCTAATTTCCTTTCATTTTCTCTTTATTTCTTCATTGGATGGCACAGGAGAATCTTCAATTCCATGTACCTCATGTGGTGCATCTTGCAATCTGCGCACTGCTAACACTGAAGCTAACAAAGGGAGGAAGTTCTATTCATGCCAAGCGCAGGGATGCAGCTTCTTTGTGTACGTCAAATTATGCTTTATCGATGTTCTTTTTCGCCCAAGCAATAAATTCTTAGCATGAAAGATATTTTCCTTGTCCAAATATTCTGGTAGAGCATTTATCGGAGTTGCCCTACATTCACTACGTACATATTCTGGTGATCCTACCATTTTTTTTTTCTCCTTTATTTCATGGAACATAGTGCTTCATTCTGATTTACGGACACCCTTCATAACAAGTTAGAGATGATATCATCTCATAGGGGGTAATGTAGTATCAGCTTGTACAGATAGATTCTGTTTTGCATAATCGTCTTTTTTAATTTCTCAATGGTTTTGGTATATATGTCATCATTTATATGCAATACAGTTGGGAAGACAACATAAATAGTGGAGGAACAGCCGCACGAGGAGGCGGGGGTAGATCAGCGTCCACTACAAGTAGGAGAGGAGGTCGAGGCAGGGGTAGCCGAGGTGGAGGAAGGACAAATGACGTGGCATTTGTTTCTGCTACAGGCGAGCCAATATCTGGCAGGTGTTTTGTTTGTGGCGAACCAGGTCACTTCTCAAATGTTTGCCCATGTCGTGGTAGGTAAATACTTCCCTGGTTTCTTCTATCAATTGGGATTTTATTTTTTTCCGTACAAAAGGAGATCTCAGTCTTATATTATGTTCATCAACTTAAACCATCTGTAGACATGTTATTTGTCTAGTTGATTGATTAGATTTTCTTTTGAGGCTTTGACAGACAAAAACTAATTTAAATGTTTGTTGTGTTATCCATCTATTATTGGCTCTTTTATTTCTGACGAAATTACTTGTTGAAGTATTTCTTTGGTCGTATAACGGACGGACTAAATTTTTTATTATAAAAACTTGATGGTAACAAGTAGCAGCTACAACGGTCAAATAATATTATTCACTTTAGGACAAGAAAAAAGAGAAAAAAGTTGACTAAGAAAAGGCAGCCAATTTGGGCTTTGGCGGATCGACAAGGCAACGGTTGAGAAGGTCGTCAACTGAGGTATACTTGTGCTCTGGGTACAGCTCCGATGCTTCCAAGTCATCGCCCGTTAATTCAAAACTGAGCTGTGCACCAGCAATGAACATATTGTGAAGAACTGCCACAGGTACGTTATCTGGAAACGGTAACTCTGCATTCATAACAATACACATCATATTTTATTTCAGATGCACGAAATATTTATTTGAAGGAGAACAGAAAAGAAAAAAAAAGTCCTACTTTGAGAGAGAGTGATGATTTCTTGCTCTGGAATATGATTCTTATGGATGGTGCGCCCGGTTTTCTTCTCCCAAGCAGCAACCAAATCTAATTGAGGAACGACGTTTTTGGGGGGTCTGTAGATAATCACTCTATTCGCCACTTTAGGATCTGTTGCCGCTTTTACGGTGTAGATTGCAACATCTTCTTCCTAGTTCAACACCGCTGCACATCCATCCATCCATCCATCAAAACCACTATTATTATTATTCCACCTTTACTCTCTCTCTCTCTCTCTCTCTCTCTCTCTCTCTCTCTCTCTCTCTCTCTCTCTCTCTCTCTCTCTCTCTCTCTCTCTCTCTCTCTCTCTCTCTCTCTCTCTCTCTCTCTCTCACACACACACACACACACACACACACACATACACACATATATTTATGTTGAGGTACCTTTGGCTTCTCCATCTCCGTAAAGAGTGACATCATCCGAAGTTGAGTCATGCGGATGGAGCAAATAATCAACAAAATATGCTGCAAACGAGTTTGCAGAAACATACGTAAAAGGGATAGCAGCTTCTTCGGTTGCTCTCCTTATCTTCTTCTTGTTATCTAGAAGCTTCTGGAAAGGGGGCAGCGCCCCGCTTACCCTATCTACATCATTCCCAAATTCCGACGGAACAAACCTCTGTATGTACATTTCAACAATCCAATTAACAGACAGATCATGCATGCATGCATGGCTGCAAAATAAAAATAATAATACCTTTATATTGCCAGCCTCTTTCGTGGCGGCGATTATCTTTAGTTGATCAAGATGTTGGGGTACTGCCAGCGCCGATATCACAACATCAACCACTTTCAACACCGAAACCAGCTTTTCGTACTCGTCCAGCTCTCCCTGTATATCCGTTACATAGATCAAGAATTGGAATATTTATCAATTCATATTGAGCGCGCGCGTGTGTGTGTGTGATCTTACTTGGTAAACGATGACTCCAACGGACTCAAAATCTTGGAGAAGTTGAATCTTTGAAGGATCGGTGTCGGATTTAACACGATGAACATAAGCATAATTCGGATGGCCCATGGAAATGCTCGCCTTGATCAGGTATTTGCCGAGGTAGCCAGTAGCACCAAATATCAGAATTTTGCTCTTTCCAATACTCATATTATTAATCTATGTTTTATGTAACTATAAGTTTTCACCTACTCCTGCGTGTGTCTGTGTGTGCAATCGGAGCTTAGCAGCAGAAGCCTTTTTTATAGGCGGCAGTTTTTTTCACCAACTAATGTTACTACTCGTCTAAATTAACTAATGAATTCCTCTAGAAAGTGAATAAATAAATAATAAATTTCATTTCGTGTTTAGTTCGTCAGAGACGCAGAAAATTGAATTAAGCATTAAGAATGAAGGTCATCTCTATACATGGAACAAAAACTAAAGAATGGCTTAATCCCATTTTGCACCCTTGAAATATGGCATTTTGGCACTTTGCGTCCTTAAAAAAAATTTAATAGCATTTTGCACCCTCAAAGCACAATCAATCATTCAAAATGCAGCCTAAATTGAATATTAAAACTTAATGAGGGTAATTTAATTTTTTTATTGGTTTATTTTTTATTTCCAGGGTGCAAATAACAAATTAAATTATTATTTTGTTCCACCTCCAACATAATTTCGAGCGTACGAAATGCGAAAAAACAACATGGCATAGAATTACTGAAAAAACTATATTTCTTACAAAAAAAAAAAAAAAAAAAACAAAAACAAAATCGCTAAATTATTCGACTGATAGATTTCTATATTGTAATTAGTAAAAGTATTTGGTAGAAATTGTTGGAAGAAAATATAATTTCAAATAATTTGATACCTAAATAGCTAAAGGATATATGTGTCTGTGTGTGTGTCTATATATATATATATATAGTTTAAATATTTTTTTTGTGATTTTTTAAATGTGGATCACTATTTCAAATCCCAAGTTTTGCTTAGTTGAATACCAAAAAAATAAAAAATAAAAAATAAATAATTAATTGTAAATTACTTTAATGCCCTTAATGAAAATTAAAACCAAAAAAAAAATTACAAACACTATTTTTCTTTCTTAAATACCAAATAATCAAAAACCCTAAAAAAACCATTTCCCTCCTCACTCAGAAACCCCTCACCTCCTCCACCTCCTTCTTCTCCCTCCCCAAACTCTTAAAAAACCTCAAAACAAAAGAAATCAAAACCTTACACAACATGCAAAATGGCGTCAAATGACAATAGAATGGTAGTTTACGAGCAAGGAGAACCCATTAAGGTATGTATTCATGTATTTTTTGAGCTAAAACATCGATTTTGATTGTTTTTTTTTTTTAAACTCGTCATCCATTTTCGACACATACAGGTCGAAAATCTCCCTAATTTTCGACATGTATGTGTCGAAAATGGATGACAATTAATATTGTATTGAGTTTCGACACTTAAGTGTCGAAAAATATAGTCATTTTCGACACTTAAGTGTCGAATTTTGTTCATATTGCAAATTTACTTGTCTTATATTTTCGACACTTTTGTGTAGATCGATTGCACCCATTCATTTACCACGTCAGAAAAATTCCCAACAAAAGAAGCTTTATTGGCATGGGTTCGTGAAGTATGTAAAAGAATTGGAATGGTGATAATGATTGCGGGTTCGAGTGACGGGGATAGAGGACGTAGGACACCGTATGTGATTGTTCGTTGTGAGCGTGGGGGCCATTATGTTGGCAAGAAGGTAGCAGGTGAAGATGATCAAAGACCGGGAAAAAGGAGCACCGGTTCAAAGAAATGCAATTGTCCGTTTAAATTGAAGGGGTTAAAAGAATCCAAGGATAATGAAAAGGTTGAGTGGAAATTGGATGTTTATAGTGGTATTCACAACCACAACTTATTCGAAAACTTGCACGGACACTCTTATGCTGGAAGATTATCAAAGGAGGATGTTTCCTTTGTTCACACTATGAAGAAAGCAATGGTGAAACCAATGGCAATTCTAAGAGCATTGAAGCAAAAGGACCCGTCTAATGTAACTGGTATGAAGACAGTTTACAATACTATCTCTAAGTTAAATTTCAGTGAATTGGATGGGAGATCTCAATTGCAATCATTGTTCGTCAAGTTGAAAGAAGATGAATATCTCTCGTACCATAGATCGAACGAGTTGAATGCGATTACCGACTTGTTTTGGATCCACCCGAAATGCATTAAGTTGGCACAGTCGTATCCGTACGTATTCGTCATCGATTGCACGTACAAGACCAATCGTTACGGACTCCCATTTCTTGAGATTGTGGGTTTTATTTGTACCAACAAGACGTTCTCAATTGCCTTTGCATACTTGGATCACGAAAAGACGGAAAATTTTGAATGGGCGTTGCGTTGTTTGAAGGAGGCCTTGACCAGTTGTCCTCTGCCTAATTGCATTGTAACAGATCGAGATTTGGGTTTAATGAAAGCAGTGGCCAATGTGTATCCATCGAGTCATCACTTGCTGTGTCGGTGGCATGTGAACAAGAATATAGTGGTCAATTGTAAGAAATTGTTCCCAAAGGACATCACAAAATGGAAGCAATTTCAGTCGAGTTTTTCGGCTCTTATTGAAAGAAATACCATAGAGGAGTTCAATGAGGATTGGGAGGATTTGAAAAGAACATTTATCGGTTATCTCCCGGCTATAGAATATGTAGCTACTATCGTCTCATTTCATTGAAGTTGTATTTTATAATTGTGCTGAGTAATGAAGTGTAATATACTGCAGCTTATACCTGTACTGATGAGATTACGAGGGCACTCGAATGATTCTTTTAACACTATACCAACTCAAGAGTCAGGAAAAAGCACTATACCGACGCAAGAGTCGTTCAAACCATTATTTGAAGATGCAGATGTGGGATTGCCACCAGGTTTGATCGGCAAGAATAAGTACATTGACACGATCCATCCACGATTTCGTATGCACGTTCGAGAAATCATCAATGTCGGTTCAGATGGACACTGTGGATTTCGGGCAGTTGCCTCTATGATGGGATTTGGAGAAGATGAATGGGGTCGAGTGCGAGATGACATGCTACGGGAGTTGACTTCTAATTTTTCCACTTACACGACCATGCACCGTGGCGAAGAAACCGTTAGAAGCATGCAAGCTATTGTGAGTAATTGGGATGTTCCTGCAACTCGTGATCATTGGATGTCTTTTCCAAATATGGGTCATGTAATTGCTTCAACATACAATATTGTGCTTGTCTACTTATCCAAGTATCAGTGTCTCACGTTCCTTCCTCTATCGAGCGATCCAAAGCTTTTCAGCGAGAGACAAGAGCACGGAATGGCATTCGTCGACAACTGTCACTTCGTGCATGTTGTCTTGAACAAGAAATGTCCAATACCTCCTATCGCCGATTATTGGTACCGATGTCATATCCTAAAGCTGATGGTTGGAAGCCTGCAGAAATGGATGGTCGGATTACATCATTTCGAGAACTAATAGGTCAAAATGTTGCCACGCGAGAGAGTTTCGAGATTATTACTATATCAGACAATGGTGATAGTTCTCCGAACAAAACTATGTAAAGTTACTGGTGCTAGTTTCAATGTTATTAAGTGTTGTGTTTTTGAAAAATGACAATTTTTATGTGTTTTGTGAGATTAACCCCAAATATAATTACAATCTAACATAAAATATTTCAAATTAGCAAAAAAAAAAAAAACTTTTGAAACAGTGTGAATTCGACAGCCAGCTGTCGAATTTCAATAGCAATTCGACAGCTAGCTGTCGAATTCCTACTGAAATTCGACAGCTAGCTGTCGAATTTACACTGTATCAATATTTTTTTTTTTTGAAAAAAATTGCAATTTTTATTTGTTTTGTGAAATTAACCCCAAATATATTGCAATGTAAAATAAAAAACATATTCTAAGTGTTTTTGGACAAAAAAAAAATAAAAATTGCAATTTTTTTCAAAAAAAAAAAAATTTGAAACAGTGTGCATTCGACAGCTAACTGTCGATTTTCAGTAGGAATTCGACAGATAGCTGTCGAATTTCTATTGAAATTCGACAGTTAGCTGTCGAATTCACACTGTTTCATTTTTTTTTTTTTTTTTAAATTGCAATTTTTATTTGTTTTGAGAAATTAACCCCAAATATATTGCAATGTAACATAAAAAACACATCTAAGTGTTTTTGGACAAAACAAAAAAAATTGCAATTTTTTCAAAAAAAAAAAAAATGATACAGATGAAATTCGACAGGTAGCTGTCGAATTTGATCTGTATCATTTTTTTTTTTTTGAAAAATTGCAATTTTTTTTTTGTGAAATTAACCCCAAATTTATTGCAATGTAAGATAAAAAACATATTCTAAGTGTTTTTGGACCAAAAAAAAAATTCAAATTATCAAAAATATTTTCATTTAAAACAACCAAAATCCATATAAAACTAAATTAAAAAACTAGTAAATCAAATAAAATCCATCAAACAACATCCATCTAAAAAAATACAAGACTAATCCTGTGTTTTTTTCTTCCTACTAAACACGCGTTTCACAACCGCCTGTGGGGCATCGGACGAGCTCGATGGCGGTGGAATTGGCCCTATCGAGCTACCTGGAGGTGGTGGTGGGGCATCCGACGAGCTCGAAGGAGGTGGAAGTGGGGCATCCGGCTCGATCAATCTGACAATATCATTTAGGGTCCCCCACATGACCGTATGAGCGTCGGATGGCGCAAGTCCCCGCACTTCGCTAAGTGTACCCTTCACCAACTCCAAAATTTGTGAAAGTTGGACCTCCTTATTGGTACCACCCCCTGGACGAGCTTCATGTGGTCGAGGTCGATCCGCCTGGGGTCGAGGTGGATGGGCTCCATGCCTACTCAGTTGTAACATGCATCTGGGTCGGAACCAATTCATGTAGTCCGGCGAAGTGTCCGCCTCCCCGAGTTCAACTTCAACGGACCTCGACTCCTCGTCCAGACAATACTCCTCCCACCGATCAGAGAATCGTTCGCCGTACGCAACGAAAATTGAGTTCTGGACCGGTCGACCTTTGCTAACTAGAGCTTTGTACATATCTTTTGACATGTATGCACGACCTGGAATGATTTGCACCCGGTTGAACTGCCTCAACACTCTGTCCGGATGATATGCCTCGAAGTGATCCATGCAACATATCATCCCACTAAACCAAGCAGAATCTGGCATCGGGAAACGATCACGAATAGCCGTATACGGTGACCATAAAACCTAGTAAAATAAATAAAAAAATAGATTTAAAAACCTACTTAAGTAGTAATAACAAATTATTAAACTGGTATTTTACCTGATCGGGGATCAAATCATCTAATCGAGATCGCAGGTACGACGCTCGTTCAGGCGTTGAAGTAGTCTTTGACTGAGGCTCCCATCGGTTCGCTAATGGCCCCTCGAACTCCGTCTTCAATGTGCCACCCGCCAAATAAGGAAAGTGCTCGTAAATCCATGACTGAAAGAGCGTCAGCCAGCCAGCCATCGAGTTCGTTGATTTTTGTGAGGCTGAGGAAAGCTCATCGTACAACCGGCAAAGACATGCAGTGCCCCAAGCATACTCGCCGATCCGATCCAAATCAGATACAAGATTTAGATACTCCACGCTTACCATGTTGCCTGTCTTGTCGCACAGTATAGTACACCCGAGCAAAAATAACAAATACGCCCGAATGGCGTATGTCCTCTTCTCCGCACTATCTCTCATGGTCACTTTGCTAAATTTAGCCTTCAACCATTCCAACTTCACCGCTTTCTTCTTGTTTACATCGTCCGGGTACTCACCTAGCAACTCGAACATCAAACTACTGGGCTTCGTTTTGGAATCACGGATCAAACGCTCGCAAGATACGGTACGCCCAACAACTGGCAAACCGACCAACGTACTCACATCGTCAAGTGTGATGGTCATCTCTCCAACAGGTAAGTGAAATGTGTTGGTAGCTGGCTGCCATCTCTCTATGAAGGCTCTAAGTAGATGGCCGTCCACAGTGTTGTACGATGCTTGTACAACTGACATTAATCCACATCTTTGTACTACCTCTGTAATAAACGGCGCCGGCTCCCAACCTTTCAAAGTTCCTGTGTGATTTCGAATTCGAAATTCTGAGCCGCGCTCCGAGCGATTTGGCCCTCCGTTCACAATATGATAAGCAATGTGCTTATCAAATTTTGTGTACAATTCCGGTATCTCGGGACCTCGGACCGGTTCGTTGCTCGAATCACCAACTTCTACAGTCGAAGGTAGAGCCGGCACCGGATTCGTTGACGAAGAACCCTCTCCAGACTTCTTCTTGGTCGTGGTCTTTTTCTTGGTCGTGACTGCTCTGCCCTTGCCTCTATCGGATAATTCCTTCCTCTTCTTACGGTTCGAGACAGTCGGAGGTATACGAGGTTCACGTGGTTCTTCCACTGCAAAATAACACACAAATAAAAATTAATATACATAATATAAACACAAGCAAATAAAAATAGGAAAGAAAACAGATTAAAAAAAAAAAAAAAATCATAGTTCAAATTCGACAGGTTGCTGTCGAAAATTCATGGTAATTCGACAGCTAGATGTCAAAAATTGGTTGAATTTTCGACAGCTACTTGTCGAAAACTCATCCAAATTTCGACAGCTACCTGTCGAATTACCAAAATCCCAATTTCAAGATTTCACCTTTTCGACACCTATATGTCGATTTTTGATGAATTTTCGACATCAACCTGTCGAAAATTCATCAAAAATCAACATATACAGGTCGAAAATGGTGAACGAAGAACCGACCCACGAATCTCAAATCAATGCTCAAATCGACTGAAATCAGATGCACCCATTACTAATTAACGATCATTCTAACCTAAAACAACCAAATCCTAATTACCCATATCAAACAATCAAATCTTAAATAAATATTAAAGAAAAAAAAATCGAAACAAATATTACTTACTATTCGAAGACGACGACGGCGGCGGCTTTGGGCGACGTTGGGCGGCGTTCGGCGGTGTTTGGCGTCGGGCTCCGGCGGCGGCGATGGTTGGAGCGGCGGCGGCGTCGGGCGGCGTGGGAGGGGTGGACGGAGGTTTGCTCGGGTTTGTTTGGCCGTTGTTTTTTGTGTTTGAAGTTTTTTTTTTCTTTTTTTTTATTTGGTTTTCAAATAGGTAATTTCAAAGAATAATTGATATAATTAATATTTTGTATGAAAGGGTATTTTTGTACTTTTCTTTTTATTTTGGTATTAAAATAAGAAAAAAACTTATAAATATGTACTCAATTGTGGTTTTCAACTTGGTAGTATTCAAGTAAGCAAAAGTTGGGATTTAAAATAGTTGCCCCTTTTTTAATATGTTGATGAAAAGTATTTTTATTTTTGCACTTTGTAATTTAGAAATGATTGATGAATAAAAAAAATGATTTGACATTTGACATCCTAAAAAATACTTCAAAAATATTAAATTACCTTCATTGGCTTTAAAATTTATTCGGGGTGCATTATGCATGATTGATTTGTTTCGAATGTGCAAAGTGCTATAAAAAAAATTCAAGGATGCAAAGTGTCAAAATGCTATATTTCAAGGGCTCAAAACGAAATTAAGCCACTAAAGAATTGTATGAAATTGAAAGTTCAATTAATTAAAGAAAAAAATTTAAATGCATTAAAAACAATTCCGAGAAGGGGCCGACAATGATATTATACATAAAAAAAACAAAATTAAACTTTTATATTAAGGGGAAATATGCAATACCCCTTATTAGAAACATATTTTGAATTAAACCCAATTGACTTTAAAGACTTTTCCCATAACTCAAATTTCAATCTAAATTAGTGAGACCCCCCTTATCAGATATGATAAGACTAAAATGCCCTTATGTGTTAGGGTTTTAATTTTATTCCTCATTCTTTGTATCACTCTCACGTTCACACACCCTCTCTCTCTCACGTTCAGTTTCTCTCTCTCACGTTCACTCTCTCTGTTCTCTTTTTTTTTTTTCTCTTTGCAGATCTGTATTACCGCCGCCGCTATCCATCGAGATTTACACCGGTGCCGCCGTTCTCCTTCGAGATTTACACCAGCGTCGCCGCCCTCTTTCTCCTTTTCACACCACCGCCATTATCCACTCACCCAACCGCCGCCTAGGGTTCTGCCGTCAAACCTCCCAAAAAACTCATGTTGTCGCCTCCTACACACCACACCACCCCTTGCCGGCGGAAAACAAATCACTTTATCATATATGTATGGATATGTAGGTCCGTGTGTGTGTGTTTTGTATGTGTGTGTGAAATATTGTCTCTCTCTTTTTCTCTTATGTTTTTTTTTCTTCAGATCTGTCTCTTGTGATTTTGTATGTGGGTCAGTAGATCTGTATCTTGTGATTTTTTTTTCTTTGCATATGTCTCTTGTGATTTTTAGATTTTTGGATCTCTTGCGACTTTGTATGTGGGTATGTGTGTATATGTGTGAAATGTATGTGTGTGTGTGTGTGTGTTTTGTATATGCGTGTGTGTGTGTGTGAAATATTGTTTTGTGTGTGTGTTTATTTCTGTATTTTTTGATTTTTTTTTCTTTTTCAGATCTATATTACAGTTTTAGATTTGAACAACAGTAGTAATATGACTATAGTTATATTCGAATATGATGTAGTCATATTCGAATATGTTCCATTTTATCGTTTCATGTTGACTTGTAATAACAAAATTCAAATTGTGATTTTTTGTGTGAATGTTGATTGGATTGTTTTCGTAAATAATAGACAATCTTCGTTGTCGTCTTTTTGTTTTTTTTTTTTTTCCAGATAGAACAGCAGCAGTAACATGACTATAGTCATATTCGAATATGACTATTGTTGAATATGGCTGTAGTCATATTCGAATATGTTTTATCTTATCGTTTCAAGTTGACTTATAATAAGAAGATTGAAATTGTGATTTTTTGTGTGGATGTTGATTGGATTGTACCACACTATATAATCGGATTTTTTAAGTTAAAAATGTTAAAAACTGCAATATAAAAAAAGAATATGACTATAATTGAAATAGTCACATATAGTCGCATTCGGCCTAATAAATCTGTGGAGAAAAAAAATTCAATTTTTTGTTTTAAAAAAAAAATTATTAAAAAAATATTAAAAAAATATTAAAAAAAATAAAAATGAAATAAAAAAATAAAAATATGCTTATATCCGAAATAATAAATAAAAAATTAATTTTTTTTTTATTTGGTTGCAGATTTTTAGGAATTAGGAAAAAAACACAAAAAAAGGAATAATTGGAACAAAATGTGCTAATTGATATAAGGGTAGTATTGGGAATAAAATTTCTAGGGGTTTATCACAAACAAAGATTTAAGGGCTGGACATATCACCATTTATTAGCGATATGAGGGGCTTGTCGCTAATGACCCCTATTATTAAATAATATGGATTCGTTAAATGTTGGAGGTTGTGGCCTCCTTTGGCCCTATGCTGATTCCGCCATTGCATTTTTTTCCGAAGGATAAGGAGAATCAAATTGAAGAAGCTATTAATACTTTTATCCAATGATTTAGTTGTTAGATTTGATATTTGACCTTCGAAATTTTAAGTGTGAAAAGAAAATTACTGGAAGAAAATTTCATTTTAGGTAGATTAATATATAAATAATTAATAATTTAATTTAATTTCATTATTATATCCATGCTCCATGCAGTTACTAATATTTAGATCAACGGGTTCAACTCACATCAAATCTCATGAAGCTAAACAGTTATATGTTAATTTGTTAATTAATAATTATGATGCTTTAAAGATCGATAATTGACCCAATTCCAAGTGATTAAAGAGCATATTATATTTTATGAACTTGAAATACATGTATTTTGAACTTTAAATGACTAGGAGGAATTTATCTTATTTTATTATTATTTTTTTAAAACAAAATTCAAACTCTGTTGCAAGAAAAAAATTGATGGGGAGTAGAATTGTAGCCAAATTTACTTATAGTAAAGTCACATATGAACTCTTTTAGCAAGAACTGGTAAATAACATAACAACAATTCTAGTCAAAAACTAAATCTAATTCGAATTTCTTAAAATAAAAGATATTTTATAAAACTAAATAAAAAATTAGCACCAACAAAGATGAAAGCTTCAAAGAAAATGTTTATTACATGGAGAGAGTAACACAACAATAATTCATTCAATAGTCAATACTATTATTAACCATCTAATTCCTACAGTGCATACATACATTATACATACATACATACTTTCTTTCACTTTTTTACAACACAAAAACACACACAGTCACACCCACACACCCCTATAATAGTACCTCTTCATCCTGCAAAATCACCGCTAATAAAGAATACTTAACACGAATCGAAATCTTGCCATTCTCAACCACAAGCCTAGCACCCGAAACCACCCAGTACCCCGGTGAATCCTGTGGGCCCCGCTTCATCTCAGTCGTGTCAACAAATCTCAAAAGCTTAAGTGCTTGTGCAGACATGGGCGGTCCGTCAGGGTACAGAGCTGAGTTCACATTAACCTCAGAAGGCTTTGGAGCAGCTTTTTGTCCGGTAGTCGAAAAACGGCTACTAATTAAAGTCGATATAATCCCCGATTTTTGAACCATCGAAGGTGATCCGTCCCACTCTGCCCTCTTCACGACCGTCGCACCGATTACTTTCGAAAATTGGAGTCGAATAAAAAGCACATTTTTCATGCCGGTTTCTTTGACTTGGAACTGAGCGCCGGTGACTATGGAGAAATCGTCTTCGGATTCGACGGGGGCTGTGCATATGTGGGAGAAGCTCTTCCATTGGACCTTTTCGTAATATCTTCGATCGTGAGTGTTGTAGTTGTTGTTTTGAATTGATTCGTTTTGAAGTTGAAAGGTTTTTGGTAAGGAAGAGAGGTGCTGCAAATGGATTGCTAGGCAGTTGCTTCGTTTTCCTTCCAAGTAGAGACGAAGACCAGTTACTGGTCTGTTTCCGACATCCACCTATTAATTCGAACAAGTTCATAAATATTTCTGTAACGGCATACGATAACCAAGGCAATGTTTGGATACGAGAGAGAGATGTTTTACCTCATCGGTATTTACGTAAAGCTTGGGACCCATCAAGCTGAACTTCAAAGACGCAGCTCCTTGCTGTTTTCTATCGGGACCAAGTGGAACATCACCGAATACAGGTGCCCATTGCTTCGGAAGTTGAAATTCCAAAAACTGATGAAGCTCTTCTATAGGTGGCTTATCTGCATTTGACGAGAAACGTAGTTTGTTTATCATCTACCAGATAGCATTTTGCTTTCCATAATAATAATAGTAATAATATCACTTATGATAATTAAGTACAACGAACGAATGAACGAACGTGTTGCTTACAGCGCAAGTATAGATTGATCGCGTGAACCAACAATCCATTGCCATCGATTCCACTCAAGAGCGACGAAATTGGAATAAAAGACATCGAGATTGCTTCGGGATCTAACTGTACAGTTTGACACCACTTACTATGAGGCATGTTCCTAACACTGCTTCCGCCTCTCCTCTTCCAGAAGAAGGTTATTTCCTGGGATTTTCGATATCAGTATATTCAATAATCTTATAAGTTTAGTTATAACAAGATCAGCTCATTGTGTAATAAATTTAATTTTTGCAGAGGTATTAATTACCTCTTGATTAGAGTGAAAGCTTTGTGAACTGGAATCCAACAAGCCGAATCCTCTTTCATTAGCCGCACTCTGAAAATCGGTCGAATACGAGTATTTAATCAGTGTGTTGCAAATCATATCATTTTTTCAAGAATTCACGATGATCAGATACAAAATGCCCAAATTAACTCGGACCCGTCTGTATTATTGACATTTGTAACTAAAGCATATTGAGATTATAACCAAAATATCAAATAATGGATTCTCGTTTAAACGGGACAGAACAAGAACTATGGCATGTTATTGGGTGAAAACTTGTAGAGATGCTTGACTAGATAATCTTCGGTTTCATCGGTGGTAATTAAATATTTATAAATTTCCTAATTTTTTTACAAATTCAGGATTGATGTTACACACCACATGATAATTATTTTCAAGTTTTGAGAATTTTTTATCCAATGCATCAAATGTTTGGCTATGGAAATTTAATTTTGACTACCAAATAAAAATTATTATTATTAAAAAGTCAAAATTTAAAATCATCGAAACACAAACCGTTTCACTGCCACTTGCATCAGTAAACCTCTTGTCCGCCACATCCTTCAATCTTCTCTGTACATCAATGGTCTGAAGAGGCGACGAGTGCTGCTGTTTTACATATACAACATCCTTTCCCCCCATTTTCACACCGACAATTATATGTGTGCCGTATTTCTCAATAAACCTGAAAAAAAAATTAAAAAAAAAATTACGAAAATTAGTCATTCTACAATATAAATATCAAAAGTTAGGTCACGTATATTGATTAACAGAGGCTAATTGCAATAGAGCATAAATAAAATCGAGTAGCATCACACTTTTACATCAATTTACTTCAGTCTGTTATAAATAATTTATAAATTTTCAGTTTTTGAGTCGAGATCTCTCTTGATCTTTCTAATGCTTGAAAAAGAAAGAAGGATGCAGAGGCGGATCGATGCTTATTTCCGCGGAGCGATACTCGGGTTATTTATTAAGTTCCCCGTAGTAACTCAATTGCAGAGGATTTGCTTCACAAGCTTATAAGAAAAATATCCCAGGTTCGCATTTATATATATATGTATCACGAACCAACTAAACGACTACAATCCAGTTCCAATTACGAAAAAACGGAACAAGTTGATTCTATTTTTCAAATTGAGATATTGCCGTAAATAATTTAATTTTTTTTTCTGGTGTCTGACCTTGCTAATGCAGCAGGATCCCATGCAGAAGGCACTGCTTGTTTGACATGATCTCGAAGAACTACTTGCGACTTGTCTAACGCAATGCTGTAAAGCGTGATCGAAACACCGTCGAACGCAAGCGACTTTGTGAATGCAGCGTCTTTCTGCCAAGATCCCGTAAATTCGAACGCTGCGTTGAAATGCCCTGTCGGAATTTTACCCGAAAGTGCTAATTCCTGGTTGAAATGCTCCGACATCTACAAATCGAAAAAACAAGAAATACCACAAATTTGATTTTGGATAATGATAGGAATAATTCATCTACTTGTCATTCTATAATTAAAAAAAAAAACCTAAAATTTCAACATCATGCTTGAATCAAAGCTCCCCCAGATAAATATATTAATTTTAGAGGGAATGAATGAATGAATGAATGAATGAACCTGCTGGAAGGGTATGACGTCAGAGCTGAAGCGCATGCGTTCGCCTTTGTCGCAGTTGATGGACTTGGGTACGTTCTGGACCAAAATACCCCCGGGAACGGCGATATCGCGAACTTGACCATCGTCAACGGCGATCAGCCTAGACCCATATTCGGTATACCGCTGCTTTTTGGAGTACTTCAACCGTAGGTCCAGGGTCAAATCGTAGCCCAACCCAATCGACTGAACCGCCTCCTCCGCCGCCTTCCTCAGCCTCAACGCTATCTCCTTCTTACTACCACCACCGCTATTCGCCATAATTTGATTTTGTTTGAATCGATTACTGAAATTGCTCAATTTGAAGCAACAAAAAAGATTAATTGGGATGAATTGGGATGTTGGAATAGTCAAAAAAGAGTTGTTGGATTGTTAAATGATTAATTGCTGGGGGGGTTAGGTAGTGATAGTGTTTGGATTTCGTGATTGTTTACAAGGAATGATTCAGACATACATGGGCAGAAGATTGTTTGTCTGACGGGATTATTAAAAAAAAAAAAAAAAGAAAGTGGCGGGAAGTCAAAGAGGTGGTGCTGCCGTTTGCTTCCACGAAACACCTACTACAATCAGATTGACTAAGCCGCCGGGGAAGAACAAAATCAATTTATGTTACTTATTTATTTATTACACAGTTGCATATAATGGCGGGTATTCGTATAATAAAATTATAGGGTAAATTACAATCACCCATGCCGTACGGTCAAATTACTAAAACACCATTTGTTTGGATAATTACAATTACTCCCTTCAACTATAAATTTTCTTACATGTCTACCCTTGGTTTCAAATTTAGTGGAATCTTCGAGATTATATGGAAAATTATATCTTTTTTACCCATTTTATCCCATTCGAACTCCACATTTTGAAGAAAGATGATCATAATATGTATTTTTTGGCTTGTATGTATCATATTGTGGTGCATCAAAAATTGTATTTTTTACACAAAACGAGTACAAACTAGAGCACATTCCACGAAATCTAGATGATTATATTGAATTTGACACCATAAGAGTGGAAGTGTAAGAAAAAATCATAGTTGACGGGGTAGATGTAATTATCCAAACAAGAGGGTTTTTCTCGTAAATTGACCATACCTCAGGGGTTGGTTGTAATTTACCCTAAAATTATATTTCAAGAAGTACGTATAGGGGTGGAAATCAGAATGAAATTTTTTAGTTCCATTAATTCTGATTCGAAAATGTCTGAATTTGAAACACTATTTTTTAGTTCTGATTTTCGGGTTTTTTGAATTTATTTGGAGGAATTGGAATGGTATGTAAAATTATCGAAAATGTCGATTTCCGGTCCGATTTTAGTTTTGAATATTTTTATGGTTTTTTGAAATATATAATATAATTTTATGATATATTTTGTAATTCCATAATATAACTTATGTTATATCTTATATGTAAAATATAAATACTGAAGGGTTGGGTAAATTAAAACCTTAAAAAATTTAATTGATATTAGAAACTTTATGTTGCATTTTGCCGTATAAAAAAATCTATGTCTCAATTTGTTGTTACTACATGTGTTTTTATGTATTGCCTTTTGTAAAACTATCGTTTGGATTTTCTTGCATTTTCCTTCAAAATTTAAAAAATGATAGAAAAATATTGTTAAAATTTTCAGTATATACAAATTTGGAATAAGAGATTATAAACTAATGAAATTCTCGAAATTCCGCCGATTCCGAGGAATTCCGAAATCAAAATATTTTTTTGCATTCTAATTTTTTTGGAACGGAAACTGGAACCCATTTCTTACTTCCGAAAAAAATGGTTTTCTTTTTCGAAAAAGCTATTTTCGATCAATTTCATCCGATTTCAACCCCTAAACATATATCATAGTGTTTGTGATTTATAAGAGTAATTAAATTTATCTTTCTATATTCCACTCAAATAAATGCATCAAAGTAGGGGTATGAACGAGCTGAACGCCTCTTTCGGCAGGCTCGAGCTCGAGCTCGTCGAGTTCCTTCTTTTGTGGGTCGAACTCGAGCTCGTGTCCATTTTGTCGAGCTCGAGCCCAAGCTCATTTTTTTTTAAATAGTTTTTAATTATTATTTTATTATAATTTTATTATTATTAAAAATTATTTAAAAAATATAAAATAAAAAATAAATTGTAATTTTATATTATAATTTTATTAACATTTATATTATATTTTTATTTATTTCTATAATATTTTATATTATTATACATTATTTAAATAAGAAATAATATACAAAAAATAATAAATAAGGCTCCTGAGCCAACAAACAACTAAAAACAGACTCAAGCTCGACTTGTCAGAAAGCTCGAACTCGTGAGGTCAAGCTCGAAAAACTTGAGTTTGAGTCCGAGCTTTTTTTGAGCCGGCTCATCGAGCTCATGAGTCGGCTCGGCTCATTTACCACCTCTACATCAAAGTAATAGTTATTTTGGGCTTAATTTCACTTTACCCCTCGAAATGTACCATTTTACCGCATTGTACCCTCGAAAATAATTTATGGCATTTTGCACCCTTGAAACATGTTTATCGTTCAAATTGCACCATAATTTATTTTTCAGTCATAATTTTCGTCGTTGACATTTCTGATAGTCAACAAAGTTATTTTTGCTTGAAAATATACTAACAATTTGCACATTGAAGAAAAAATCAATTGAATAGACAAAAATAACCATGTTGAAGATAATAAAATGAGTAAACAACAGAAGATTACGTCCAAAAGATAGATTATGGTGCACTTTGAAGGATTAAACATGTTTTAATTGTACAAAGTACCATAAATTATTTTCGAAAGTACAAAGTGCTAAAATTGAATATTTCGAAGGTGCAAATTTGAATTAAGCAGTTATTTTGATACTTCATTTTTTGGAGTTCCACACCTCCTAAAGCAATGTATAAAAGATTTAACCATCCAATCAACCTGTCATGAATTGATATATATATATTTCGATTTTTGAACCATCTTTGGAATTCTTGAAATTCGATCCGAAAATAATTTCAAAAATCTCAAATAATTTTCGAAATTTCCAAATATTATTAACATTTATTAATTATTTTAGGTTATAAATTTAACATAAATTTTACTTTTTAAATGATTCATTAAATATATTTTTGAGAGGTACCATTCATAAATATTAAACATAGTAAATGGCTAAACCTAATAAACGGTCGCAGAAGTAGCAAAACCCTTGTTTGCGCCGTCTGCAAAATTTGAACTGATTAATTTCACAAATAAAATTTTGCATTTTTCGAAAACAAATAATTTCCGATAAACATAAAAAACTTTCCGAACAATTTCCGGTCGGTCCGGTCGGTCGGTCGGTTCGATTTTTATCCTTTCATGTTAAACCCCAGCCCATCTTTTGCAGAGAAACCCTAGCTGGTTTTGTTTTTCTTTTTCTTCCTTACAACAACGAACTGAGAAGACGAAGAACATCTGCTACCAAAGGAATCAAGTCAATTTCTTTCTTCTTTACTGGTAATTCATTCTTAACGCACTCGTGCATCCTTATGAATACGTTTCATCCTATTTAATTAAAATTCAAGTTCTCTAAAACCCTGATTTTGTAGCTGAAAATTAACTCAGTATGTATGTATGTGTATGTATTTTTTGAAATTAGAAATAGGAATATGGTGGCTGTGGATTTATCTTAACAACCCTTGTGATTGTTCGACATGGGATATGTGGATTTTGGGCGAAAGAACGAATTTTTATCATATGACAGAGAAATTAACATTTTTATATGTTTTCAATGAGTGTAATGGAGCAATAGTATGTCTGGTAAGCTATGTAATATTTAATTTATTTCATGTTAAAGTAAGGAAATAATCTGAGAAAAAAACTAGTTTGTAGTGAAAGTTTAGAAAATAAATCAATTTCATCGTTTGTTCTTCTCCGCTATTGAAGAAGAATGATTCTGTTCTGATGAGAGATTCTCTATTTCTTCTTGATTTTTTCTGTTGGTGTCAGTGGCGGAGCCAGTATAGGCCAAGGGGGGCCATCTCCCCCCCCCCCCCCCCCTCACACACACACAAACACAAAATAAATCAATTTTACCGTTTGCTCTTCTCCGCCATGGAAGAAGAATGATTCTGTTCTGATGAGATTCTCTATTTCTTCTCGATTTTGTATTGGTGTGGTTTATCAGGCAAAACATTATATATATATATATAGGAATCTAGAAATACTCGATGTTCGCTTTGCTCCCATCCCTCCCTCGCTCGTGTATTTTAATATCTGTGTGTAAACAATTTTGATATTATCATGCTAAGATCAAGTTTGCTACAACTAGAGGTACCATGGTAAATTATTATTGTTTTAAGTTAATGATAGGATGGTCGGAATATGTAACTTTTATGTGTATATATATACATGCATTTATTAGTTCTTGCAATGACTCTGCTCTATATAAAAATAAGAGAACAATTCTATAAAATGATGTTTGTTTTTGGAGGATGTTTGAAGGAGTAAAAATATCAACCCTCCTAAACAATGTACGCGAAAACATTTTCATTCTTCGGTAAAGATATCAAATTTTGCCTAAGATTTTTTTTTCTATTGATAGGTATTATAATCGAGAATGATATCATCCGTTTCTTGGATCCCAAAAGGGGTCCTAAAATCAGTACCTACTGCAGCTGATCCTCCTTCGAAAGAAGAACTCGAGGAGATCTTGAAGAGTGGTGTTTTGGGAATACGGTAAACATTCGTTTTCCTTTTTTCTTTTACCTACTTCTTTATGTATATTGAATTATTTGTTTTATGTCCTGTAACTGTAATGGAAGCCACATAATTTAGTAGGGCGAGTGTAGTTTAATGTGGAACAATAATCGTCTACCTGTTTTTATGGTTTACATCTTGCAAACATGAATGGAAAATTTTGGCTTGTCTCATTTTTATTTGAAATGTTTCTTTGTAGTAATTTTATTTCTTATCGTGGCAGTGAAGAGAGTGAAGATGAGGAAACCGAAGAAAATATGAATGTTGATGAATTGAAGCAAGATGATGAACTTGCTCGTGCATTAAGTGCTGCTGATGCTCTTGGAAAAGCTTCGAGCAGTTCAAAGGGTGTAACCGACAGCTTAACGAATGCACTGAAGGAACTAGATATGGATAAATACGATGAAGAGGAGGATGGTAATTTGAGATGTCACTATCTTGATATTGTTTAGTAGAAACTCATCTCGTCTGTGAAAAATTCACCTTTTCTAGCTTTGTGTGATATCAGTATGTCATAAATCCTTTTATATGATGTATTCATGTCTATGTCAAACATTTGTGTTCATTATTTTCGATTTTTATTTTGAGACCAGGTGTCGAGCTTTTTGGCTCGGGGTTAGCTAACTTATACTATCCAAGTAATGACGTGGACCCTTATTTGAAGGATAAGGATGTAAGTTGCTTGCATCATCACTTGCTTAAATATGAATATTGTGGACATGATTAATATATATTGGCAAATATTGGCTACATTTTCCACTAACCGATGCACCATTTCACTATTTTAGGAAGACGATTCTGAAGAGGAAGAAGATATCACCATAAAACCGGAAGATGCTGTCATAGTCTGCGCTCGAAATGAGGATGATGTCAGCCATCTTGAGGCACGTAAATTGTTTGTGAAAAATTGTAGCTTTAAGTTCTTTTCAATATTAGGCGGTGATTGATTTGAAGTCTCTCTCTCTCTAAAAAAATAGGTTTGGATATTGGAAGACCCTACAGACGGCGATTCAAACATGTACGTACATCATGATATTGTCATTCCAGCATTTCCCCTTTGCACGGCTTGGCTTGATTGTCCCCTTAACGGAGGAGATAAAGGTAATGAAAGTGCGCACACACACACACACACACATATATGTATGTATATGCTAACCTTTAATACATGTGGTTCCCTTTTTTTTTTTTTTTTTAATTACGATCTACTCACCTCGTCAAGTGATATTTGCTTGTCAATAGGAAACTTCATTGCTGTTGGCTCAATGGAACCGACCATTGAGATTTGGGACCTTGACATTGTATGTAGATTGTGTCCTTTCATTATTGGATGTTGATTTATGGGTTAATGAACTATTTAAATTTATCTGTAATTTTTTTTATGGTTTTAGATGGATGAAGTTCAGCCAACTGCTACATTGGGTGGCATTATCGAAAAGAAGAAAAAGGGGAAGAAGGTTAGCTTCTTAAGTTGTGCCTTTCAGCATTGGTTAGAAATACTAGTATTTAATCGCGTACTTGCACGTATGGTGTTCGATTTCTCTGGTTACACGTTATTGTTACCGCTCGTTTTCTTTGTTTTTGTTTAGAAAACTATTAAGTACAAGGATGGCAGTCACACAGGTCCAGTTCTTGGACTTGCTTGGAATAAAGAGTACAGGTATCTGAATCACTTCCAAATGTTTTATTTATTCTTCACCGGTGGCTACGTTTTCTAAAGTGTAACGCTCTCTCGATTTATTCAATCATATGTTCAGGAACCTACTTGCTAGTGCAAGCGCTGACAAGTTGGTCAAGATTTGGGATGTGGCAACCGAAACATGTAATTTAACGTTGGAGAACCATACAGACAAGGCAAGACTGAATTTATTTATTTATTTTTTAATCACTCTTCATTGCGATTATTTACATGGGACCATAATTTTTTGCACCGTTTACCATTTTCGCAACTTGGTCTGAAAATAAAAAATCAACCATGCAAACTTGCAACATAAGCAATACACGTAAGCATACAACAAGATAATGTTTCATTCTACTAGACTATAAAAAGATAACAAAATGCTCCATCATATGTCCTTACGAGTCTTCTATAGTAAGTAAAGGTAGTCTTTGTTTTATGTTTATGCTTACGTGACTTGGTTTCATGTTTCTTTTAGATACACGTGTTTTAATATATATATATATATATATATATATATATATATATATATATATATATATATATATATATATATATATACACTGTTGATGTATTAGAAAAAATATTCTGAACAAGGTTTATATCCCGGCATAGTTATTTCTCGAAGGTTAGCATTTGAATGATATGATAACACAATTGTTTGTACCTTCAGGTCCAAGCAGTGGCGTGGAATCATTTTGCTCCTCAAGTTCTTCTGAGTGGATCGTTCGACCATTCTGTAGTTATGGTATGTATCTAGAATCTCACTAGTAACTTGTGCCTGACACAACTTATTGATTAAGCGCTTAATTAGTATTATGAATAACTAAGCTTGTTTGTATTGTGCTTTACAGAAAGATGGCAGGATACCGTCGCATAGTGGATTTAAATGGACGGTTGCAGCTGAAGTAGAAAAATTGGAGTGGGACCCACACACGGAACATTCGTTTGTGGTCCGTGCTCATTTTTTTTTTCTTTTTCATTTATTGGGGACAATTTTGACCATCTGCCAATATTTTTTTATTGATTCATCTTTTTTTCAGGTTAGTCTTGAAAATGGCACAGTTACTGGTTTCGATATCCGTACAGCTAGCTCTGAATTATCGTCTCAGTTGAAGCCAAGTTTCACTCTCCATGCACACGACAAAGCCGTTTGCACAATTGTGTATAATAGCTTAGTCCCAAATGTATGGAACCCTACTTCTTCATCACCCCCTCTATTATTCAACATTTTATATATTTATTATGTACTCACGTTGTGATGATAAATTCTTGCAGCTTCTTGCTACCGGTTCCGAGGATAAAATGGTTCGCCTATCCCTCTGTTTATTTAAATTCAATTTTAACCCTATTTATTTTTCCGTGCAAGTTTAATGATTTTTGTTTTAATGCAGGTGAAACTCTGGGATTTATCAGACCAGCAGCCTTCATGCATTGCGTCCAAAAATCCTAAAGCTGTGCGTTTTGCTCGTTTATTTTTTTTCTATAAAAATATGTCATAATCTCATACTTGAATTGTTGTTAAGGGATCTCGTTATAAACATTTATATTGCGTCTGAAATGACACGGGCTTAAAATCGTTTTTCAGGGAGCTGTGTTTTCAATCTCCTTCTCACAAGATAGCCCCTTTACTTTAGCAATTGGAGGTGCCAAGGGAAAATTGCAGGTTTGTGTGATCATCAGAATTGTGTTTTTTTTCTTTTTCCATTTGTTTTTTTTTTTTTTAAATTATTTGTTTATCGCCTCATGCTTGATTTAATCGTTTGCAGTTGTGGGATACGCTGTCGGATCCCGATATTGCGAAAAGATACGGAAAGTATGCGAACCGGCCTAAACCTCCTCCTGCGGCTGTTTGACCAAAACTCTCGGTCAATAGGCAATATATGTATAATGCTGGTCTTGGATCCGAGTGCACCATTTTTGCAATCTTGACGTTCGAAGTTTCTTTTAGTTGATGACTAGTACGATTACAAAGTTCGCTTATATAATTACCCTATAATTTATAAGTTTTGGTTCTTTATTAGCATTACTCGCTGTCTCGTATTAATTTTTGCTTGTTTATGAGCATTACTTCCGTTTCATGTGGGATACCCACGTGTTTAAATTGGACAGTTCGAATCAAAATTAGCCCTTTGACAAAAAATCTGATTTTTTTTGGAAGTGAACAAGTAGTTCCAATTCTGTTAAAAAGAAATTTGAATTGGAATTTTGGAATTTGGAATGAAAAACTAGTTCAAAAATTGGAAAATTTTGGATTGGAATTCAAAGAATTTGTAAATTTCCATTTTTTTGTCACCTACAATATACAATACATAATATATTGGTGTTTTAAGTGTAATATTTGGAAAAAAAAATGGAATTTTCTGAACTTAAAATCAGATCGAAAATTGGAATCTCATATATATTCTAATTTCGAACCAAATAATTATGTTAGATTTAGAAAGATGTATAATTTGCAATTTTATATACTCTGTGCATTTAAATATGGCCCATACTCATTTATAACTTGGTATCGACATTCATTCAAATTCGAAAAATTCGAAAAGGCATCGAGACACGTGATTTGGATAGGGAAACACTAATACTAAAAAACAAATATGAAGAAAATAAAAGAAAAGTAAAGACCACCACCAAATATTTTATTTTATCTTTAGTAAGTTAAGTTGCGGTATTATTGGTCGGTTCACATTAATTTTTTTTCTTTTCAATTTCAAATCTGAGAATATAAAATTAATAAATCATCGGGAAAGAGATAAATCTTTTCAATTTTGTAAAATAAGTACTTTTCAAACTTGTTTCCACAATAAAGTTTTCTTACATAACAATAATTTATGTTACTTCACAAGGTATTAATTTAATTTTTTTTGGGTAAATAGCACTTAACCCCATATAATTTGATCTTTGTGCACATGACTCCCTGTAGTTTGAACTTTGTGCATATGACAACCCTTGTATTTTAAACATAAGCACACAATCCCCTATAGTATTCTACTTGGTAAATAATCATGCTCATTAGGAAGAAGAATTTTTGGAAAGTACAGGGTGATTATGTGCTTATATTAAAGTACAAGGGAGTCATGTGATATATTGAAAGTTCAAAGGACTCATATGCACAAAGTTCAAACCATAGGGGTTTAAGTGCTATTTATCCTAATTCTTTTAGACACTTGATACTTGGATGATATTTTCTCATCTATCATAAGTAATACCACTTGTATATTGTTATTGATCATGTGTTGTTGTAATAATGATTCATAAATTTAAACTTTCAAAAAGTATTACTATTAAGAGTTTTAGATTGTGTTGAATCATTGTTGACTTTTTGTAGTTCAAGTTGAGATAATAGTATTTATTGAGGTAGGTGTCATTAAATAATCTACATCTAGTAACTAAAAGATAGAATATCATTATTTTATTATTATAGAAAATCAAAAGGGTCATCGAATTGGACAAATTCTAATTTTAAAGTGAAAAATTAATTCCAATTCCGTCTAAAAAAAATTCAGAAAAATTGAAAATCAAAAATTTGAAATTCGAAAAAAAGAATTTGGTCCAAAATCGTGTTTTTATTGGATCCTGTAAAAATAGAAAAAAGTATTTTTATATTCAACTATAATATAAAAAAACATAATAAAAATGATATTTAAGTGTAACTTTTTGCAAACAATTTGATTTAAAAAAAATTATTTCCGGAACTATAATTGGATGTAAAAACTCAAAAACCAGAATCTCATAAGTATTCCAATTTCAATCGAAAGCAAGTTGAGAAAAATCTGCAATTGAAATGAAAAATATTGTTCCAAAATTAAAATTGTATTCGAAAAAATGGAGTAAATAATAATAAAAAAAAGGGAAAAAAGAAGAGAAAATGCAAAAGATTGATTGCCCATAAATCCGCAGAGGCTGTCTTTTTTCCAGCACAAGCTTTGCGCTGCCGCTGCCGCCGCGTCGCCGGCTTGTCCCCATAAATCCTTACCTCAAACGCAAGCAAATTCGAATTTTTTCCAATAATAAATAAATAAATAAATAAATAATAATAATAATAAAGAAATAAATAAAGAAAGAAAAAGCTAGACTACATATAGAGTAATAGTAAATCCAAAAATCGTCGACATAAACTAACCCACGCGGCCACTATTCTTACCTCGTAAACCTTGTAATAACACAATTTCAAGATTCTTCATTCTCTCTCTCTCTCTCTCTCTCTCTCTCTCTCTCTCTCTCTCTCTCTATATATATATATATATATATACTACTCTCTCTCTCTCTCTTGTTCACTTTTTTCTTTTTGAATGAGTGAGTGATCTTAGGCGGGAAATCATCGGAAAAAAAAAATGATTGACTCATCTCCGTCTTCCTCGGCAGAATCCAGCTTCCGGGAACTCGATCAAGCTTTCTTGCAGGTCCGGCCTATATTTAATTTACACACACACACACACTAATTTTATTCTTACAGTTTGTATTTTGTTTATTTATTAATTAATATTTTGTATTGGCTTTACATATATATATATATATATAAATATGGGCACAGACTCAAACAAGAATATGGCTGGGAGAAGTTCTCAACACAAGATTCGATCAGGATAATTTAAACATCTCTGAGTTGCTTCAAGATGGAGAGATACTGTAAGTTCTTGTCCTTTTTTTTTTATTTAAAAATTCATAAATCATAATTATTTAATTCCTTCTTACATAGCTGAAATCTAGATTTATTTGAGTAGCTTAAATGTAGAAAATTGAATTAAATTGTAGAATAATATTATGCACATTTGGCTATTGTTCATAAGTGAATCATTTAGTATTTATCCTCTCTCTCTCTCTCTCTCTCTCTCTCTCTCTCTCTCTCTCTCTCTCTCTCTATATATATATATATATATATATATATATATATATATATATATATATTGACTCGACCGACATTTTTCGGATTTTAGGTTTGAAGTTTCTAAAACAGTGTGGAATCTGTTGTTGACAAAATGTATGGAGTTAAGACATTTAAAGCATAAATACGGGCCGTTTGGTTCGAAAACGAGCAGTGGTAGGTACAAGCCTTACTCCAACGTCGATTCCTTTCTAAAGGTAATGCATCATTTTTTTTAAATCGAAACAAACTCGTTGAAATTTTAGACTGCATCAACGATTTCTATTGCTAATTTAATCGCTTCTGTTTTCGTAAATAGACGTGCAAAATTCTTGGATTGAGTGGCATTGACCTATTTTCTCCATCGGATGTTGTCGAGAAACGAGACGTTCGAAAAGTTTGCATTTGCATAAGAGCCCTTTCGAAGAAAGCTAGGTCTAAGCATCTTTGTGTAAGATATTTCTTTATTTGTTCTGTACCAAGTTTATTTATTATTGCCTGCGATAAATTAATATTTCGTTATTTATTTTAGGTCCCTGATTTCGATGTGGTTATATGCTCGTCAGTAGCCATGCCGACAGATATGGTAGGCGTAATACGAAAAAGCTTAGAATCACCACAATGCAGTACCCTTTCAAGTTCGTCGAGTTTTATTTCTCGTAATACTCCACTGAAAAAGCCGGAACAGGTATGCCGTTAATTTTTTATTTTATTTTTTTAAATTTATCTGCCGATTTCAAGTCACTGATTTGTATTTTCTTGTTTTTTTTTTTGCGATATAGAAAAAATATTATGCGCCGTACGATAGGAACGGTGATTATAGTAGCTCCGAAGAGTCGGACGAAGCAGAAAGCCGATATATGGGTGAATATTCTTTTTCATCCGTTAATTCAGACATAGAAAGCTCACCCGAAGCGCATAATGTACTAGAATTGGATGCTCAGAAAAAGGAAGAGGGGCGTAAAAGTAAAAACACTACTGCAGACGAAGATTCTCCGTGCATCAGTATAGGCGAAAACAATTATATTTCGGATTATTTGGCATTTTCGGATTTAATGGTCCTCCATGCAACTGATGATGGCAGCAGCAATAATCGAGTTATTCCTGATGGAGGAAACAATGTTTTTGATTTCTTTTTGAATGTCGATTCGCAAGGACTCGTTCAGCGTGGGTCCTGCAAGAAATTATCGGACGATGAAGAAATGGAGGTGTCTTCCACCACTAGCATGACTTCTGTATTGGGGCGGTTGCTCAATTTGGAATTTGACGAGCATTTCGATGAGGATGATTCATCGAGCGCGAATGTTTGCTCTTTTTCATCAAAGGAAAGCAAAGTCGAAAAGCACTACAAAAAAGATCCGTTCGTATTATCCGAGTACAAAAAAACGGACACATTGCAAGATGCTTCTACCGAGTATCTTCTTCTATCTGAGGACAAATCTGAATTATCCGGTTTAGGGTTTCTAGAAGGTGGATCGTGTCGCACTGAAATTAGCAATCCTGAAAATGGTGACTTTTGTCAGGAAAATAGGGATATGGTTATTTCAGATGTAAGATCCGAATATTTTGAATTTTCATGCAAACGTAATCCGGTTGAAGAGAGTGGAGAATCGAACGAACAGGTCGAGAACATGAATATTCAAGATTATAGAATCCAAGATTCGCATCTCGGTTTTTCGAACGACACTAACTTCTGCGGTTCTATATCGGAAAATGGCATTCAGGTGATTATATACTACATTATCGAAAAAGCACACTCTATCTTTATCTGCTCGGAATCTTGATTATATCCCGTTCTTCGTATTCAGGATAAAACAGAAGATGATCCGCTTATTCTTACACAAAGTATTACAGACCGAACGAAGGACAAAAACCCTCCACAGCCTAATACGAATCGAAATCGAAGGCCACTACTGAAAACAGTATTCAAAGGCACAGCAATTGCTGGTGCTTTACTTCTCTTTCTCCACATCAGGTGTGAATCTTTTATTTTCCTAATATTTCTCACTTTATATATTATTCTTTCTAGTAAGTTGATGCACAATTTCTACGGTCACAGAAAAAGCAATGGGAACAAAAACGAACACGAAACCAAGCACCAGTTTCAAAACCACAGCAAACCGAAGCCATCTTCAATCGAGCAACAACAGAAAACAAGAGTACGAAACGGGATATATCCATCACAAAACCTCAAGCTATGAAAAATAACAAGCTTCAAAACATTAATCACGAGCAAACCTTCACTTTCCCAGCCAACATAAACCCTTTATACGCAACCGATCTCACGAGGCGGGCCCCACCCCAAGCAGCCTCCAGCTTCCGAACAGTATCTTCCGGTAATAAATCCACACCTCGTTCCTTAGCAGTCACGACAGCCGACCAAGACCTCACCATTTTCAAATACCCCTCGAAAGAAAGCTCCTTCGGTATATCAAGAGCCACCGGATTCCCCTCCGATCCCAGCCCTACATTTTCGAAAGGGAACGGTAGTGATTTATATCCATCGAAAATAAGATCGATCTTCGAGTTCCAGTACGGGAGTGTGGTGTCGTGAAATTTTTTAGCTGCGGCGTCGAATGCTGGGGTGACAGCTATGTCGTTGTATCCCCACACGGCGAGAATGCCGCCCGGTTTTCGGAGGAGGCGATTGGCCAGGGAGTAGAATCTCGGTAGGTCGAACCAGTGGACCGCTTGAGCTACGGTGATTAAATCGAGCGAGGAGTCGTTGTTGCCGGGGGCTATTAGGTTCGCCAGGTCGTCGTCGGATAATGATGGCGGCGTGTGGAGGTAGCGTATTCGAGGGTGCGGCGTTGCGTGTTTCAGCTGCGGTTCGCTTGTGTCGGTTGCGATTACTTGCTTGTAATGCTCTGCCACCTGTGTATTGAAAAAGGATCAATTTTTGTTCTGTTTTTCGAT